CCGAATCTTGTGGCCGGCCCTGTGCATTCTACCCTCTTCTTCGGCGAGTGCTTTCGAAGTATGCGACAACGTCGAATTCGTGCGCGGCAGACCAGGCCGGACCGATAAGCCGGTCTCGTCCTCGGCATCGGACGGAATGCTGTGCTGATCAGGATCCTCCGTCGAGGATAGCGAAGTCCCGAGTTGGTCACTCTGGCTGGGCAAGGTGGTCTCCGATGCCTCATCTGTGGACACGCGGGTTTCAGGAAATTCATCTTCGAACCGCTTGATAATATTGGCAAGTGTAACGTCGAGGAACATCAACTTGCGCAGGTTGTGCTCATCTTCCTGCGGATTGACTCTAGCCTTGGACAGTGCTGGCTGCAGTCTCTGACGAATCTTGCGGGCGCTGGCTAGTAGATGCTTCGACATATCCTTGGCCTTTCCTGGAGGTAGCTTCGGTCGCGGGCTCGCAGGCACTGGGACGCCATCTTCGAAATCCCGGATGAACTCGCCAGATTGCCTTCTCGATTCATCTCCCCTGTTCTTGAGACAGCAAGTGAGAGCCTTGACAACACCGGTGCCTCCAATGACATAGTCATCGTCTGGCGCGGATTCGTTGTCCGAGTCTTCTCTGAGAACGTCGTGGCCGACGAGATGTGCGAGGACATCGGGATAAGGTGGGATTGGGCCGCCTGGCAACGAGTCCTGAGATTCGGCTAGGACTGTTGAAATGACCGCGCTTATGTCGCCAATGGGGAATCGCTCCATATTCCGCAAGCAGTAGGCGACCACTTGCTTGGCCAAAGCCTTGACGACCTCGCCGGAATTGTCGCTCGGTACATCAATGTCGACACACACAATAGTCTTGGAGACACGTGTAGCAGCAAGGAAGGATGCATACAGCGCACAAGCTTCCTCCTGGGCATCCTCAGTCTTGGCATCTGCAAGTTTGACGAGCTCTGGATTCTCCAGAAAACTAATGTGGGCGAGCATTTTAGCCTCAGGGAGAATCTCGGCAAGCGCAATAGCTTGCTCGGATGTCATGGCGACATCAGCAAGGTGAACACGCCGGAGTCCCTGTAGCTTTGGTAGATACCTAAATGTTGTCAGCTTCGTAATCTCGTTGAGTGAATCGGTATGACTTACTTGCGCAAGAGACCAATGGCACTGGGATCCGATTTGCACAGATCCCGATTGTGAGAAAGGTCAATAAAGCGGAAGTCTTTGAGCTGAGCAAGCGCAGGGAAAATCTTGCAAAGCGAGCCAGGTTTCAAGTTGCACTCAGCCAGACTGAGCGCCCACAAAGAGTCCTTTTCCGAAATTGCATTGGCAATGATGTCAGTTTGATCTCTTAGATCGTTGCCGCCCAAGTCTAGGCCCTCGCATCCGCTTGTGGACAGATATCTGGCAACATGCCTGAGTCCCTTTTCGTCAATGTTGTTGTGAGCAAGACCAAGTCGTTTTACGCCACACTGAATGATACCGTCTATTACGATGCCGAGATCATTCGAGTTGAGGTTAGTCTCTCCGAGGTTGAGTAGTTCCAATGTAGCGCCGCCCAGTCGTTCGCCAATGGCCTTGGCAAACAGGGTCGCGCATATGTTTTGGGGTTGCTCGTCATTGGAGTTATGTCTGAGCAAGTGGTGTCCATGCCCGTTTCCGTTTTGTGCCGGTTGAGTAGGACGGGGGAAGGATATCGTCGAGACGTCGAGGAACTTGAGCGTTCGGCAGAGGTAGATGAAGAGGAACATGTGCTTCCAACCCTCGGGTCCAATCTTGTTGTTCTTGAGGACGAGCCGTTCAACGAAGCCGCCCTGTGTAGTGAGACCATCTGCCTTGGCTTGCTTCCGTCTCTTCGAATCAGGCTTCTTCGCAGCCAGGAGACCGGCCAATATCACCCTGACGCCTTCATCTGTCAGGCCGCAGTTCTCCAAGATAACCTCCTTAACCGGCACGACCGCCAAGTAATCGCCCAGAGTGATCAAGTCAGGGAGCTGCATCCAGTAGCCCGTCAAATCCAACTTCTGCACCATTCCTATGTCGGAAGAGCAATTTGAAGGGCTATTCAGTTGTTCGGTGATCTTCTTGAGAATGGGTGTCTCTCTCAACTGGCAGCAACGGCGGTATATCCTCACCGGGTTTGTTGTGGGAGACGCTGTCGTCTTGGGCGTTGCGGCTGGGGTGCCTTCGCTGGAGGAGTCGCTATCGTCGACGTGGATTTCCATGGGAATCGTGCCGTTAGCCTCAGCTTGTTTCCGTTTCTTCTCTTTCCTTGCTTTCCTCTCCTCTTCGCTCTTCTTCTTCTTTTCCTTCTTCTTGGTGTCTTTCTCCTTATCCGCGGATGCAGCGCTTACGCCGCTCGCGTCATCATCCTTGGTTTTGGCCGAGTCCACCCCCTCCGTTTCTGGTTCTTTTGGCACGGTTTCACCCGTTGTATGGATGATGCCATCGCGCTCCTTCTGCTGCTCCAGACTTTTCGGGTTCTTCAGTGCCTCGCCCTCACCCTTCTCCGTCATCTTCTTCGTTTTCGACTTCTCGAGTGGCTTCTTGACGGGCATATCTGTATCGACGTACTTAGGCATCGGCGCAATTTCGACATCAACGCTGAATGCAACCCTCCGGAGTTTCGCCTGATGCAAGTCCGAAATTTGACAACGTTCGCGGTTGCGGTCAACGTTCAGAATCTTCCGCTCTACCAGGCCGTGTGTTCCTCTCGTTCCTTGTCCTAGGACACCGCCAGACGAAGACAGTCGGCGGAAGACCCCCAGAAAACCGGCCTGGCCGCGCCCGGGAGGTGCCGGGGTGTAAGGCTGGTCGCCATCGTTTTTGGCGGCATGTGCGAGCACGGCGTTCTTTGCAGGAGTCACTTTCGGGGGTACTGGACCAGAGTCCTTTGGCGGCGTGCTTTGTGCTTGCTGGTTTGCCTGGGTAGTCTTGCTGTCTGGTGAAGAGGAAAACTTGGAAGAGATGTTGGAAAACCACGAGTTCCGGCGGGTTGGCGGAGTACCGTTCGGCCCTGGTGATTTTTCGTTCGACGGACTTCTACCTAAAGACGGTCTCGAGACTGGGATAGGTTTTGATTCTTCTGTTGTCGCTTTCGCAGTGTCCGTTGTGCCGTTGGTGTTCCCGTTGCCAACGGGTTGGCCGATGGTCGGAGAAGGGAGTGGTGATGACTCTTTGGGTGCGGACGTTGAGGATCGCCGTATGGGTAATGATTTCGGCGGTCTGTCTGTGAGGCGCATCTTGGATTAGCAGGGGAAGGATTTGGGGACTTGAGTAATTGAAAATAATGCGCGATGGAGAGGTAGGAGAGAAGGTGGAGGGAAGTGACGGGCTCTTGGATATATCCACAGGCCAGGCACGAGAGACCCAGAGATGTGGTCGACAGTGGCAAGCGCTCGTAGGTCGAGGCCGAGCTGCTTATCTGGGTCGACTTGGCTTGGGATGCGGGTGCAGGCAGGGCAGCGTTGGCGAGCGCGATATGAGTGGTGAGTGGGTGACTGGGGGTCCAGCGCAATAGCCAACTAGCTGCCCTGGAGAATGAGGTCAGATGGGACGTTTTGCATACCTTTCGGAGAGCCGCCGTGGGTCATCCAGCTAACATCTACTCCATGAACCTGCTCCATAACGATTGTCGCAGAGATGCTGTGCAAGGGTAGAATACAGGTCAAGGACCGAAGAAGCCGCAAAAGGGCCCCAAAAAAGAGGCACGAAGTCGTCCGGGCAGGCGAAGAGGGGGCGACGATGAGAGAGGAATGCTTGGCGGAGGAGGTGAAGAAGAAGGTGGTGGTGGTTGTCACTTTTTCGATTTTGGCGCAACAGAAAGGAATGGAATAGTTGCGCGCGCAGGCCGGGCAGAGGGTGACTTTTGGGTTGATTTCTAAGAGGAGGCGGAAGCGGGAGGTGGAGGGTACTTCGTAGTGTACTCGGAGGTTCGTTGATTATTAGCCCCGGTTCCTTGGACACCACCTTGGATCCTTCCGGTAAGTCGATTCGGAGCAAGAGCGGACAGAAGCTGCCTCGCTTTGCAATCGACGGTCCAGCTCTGGAAAAGCCGGGTTAGCTGGCGTGAAAGGGTGTGGTAGGGCGAGCGTGGGATGTTGGTCGAGGACGGGAGAGAAGGTACGAATAAGTCGTGGGCTCGCGGTGGTCTTGGGTGATGGCAGGGACCAAGTACTTGGGGGAGACTCGCAGGTTCGGAAACCTCACGTCAGGGTCCGGGTCCGGATGGGGAGGGGAGGGGAGGGGAGGGGAGGAGGGCGAACGGCAGGTATTCGTAGCTACGTACTCCGCACTGCCGCTGCGGTAATGCCTTCCTCAGTTCCTACCCTTGGTACCTTCCATTGGGTTCGCAATAAAAACAGTGAGCGCAATCAGGAAGCAGCCAGAGAGTCCGTACCTTGCCGTAAGGTTCCTTGAAGGAAAGGCCGGACGTGGCAGCTTTAGCGGGGGGTTCATTAACCTTTTTAGAGGCAAAGCATCTCGTCATTGGCAGGAGATGAGCGGCGCCATGGCCCAGGCTGGTTGGTTTTTGGAGACTTCACTTTCACCCGAGGGGCCACCCGGTCTTGGCTGGCCTGAGGTACCTACCCAAACACATGGGCTACTCTGTAGAAGAAGTACCCCCCCGTACGGGAGTCCAATGTCGTGCTTTCCTCCGCCATTGCTGACTGTTGTCAACTTGTCACCACTTGTTCATCGCCAATGAAACAAGATGCAATGGTTTCCCGCCCTAAGGCACATTTACAATTTGCAATACAAACCCACGGAAAGCAAGAAAGGAAAACCAAGAGGAAAAGACGCTTTAACGGCATCCAAACACAAAATCAACTATCCCTGGCGATATATACCGTCCCTCACCTGCCGTCCTCCCAGTATCCTGGCCCGATGGGAAGTCCCGCGTCAACAACCTTCAGACGGACGGACATCTTATGCCGCAATCTTCCCCGGTATGTTTTTTCATGCAGCACTGACGGCCCTTGTCTTTTTTTTTTTTTTTTTTTTGTCTTTAACCACCAATGTTCCTAGACTTCTTGCGTACCTCAATTTGGTCAAATACTCCCGTCTTCCGCGGCTCGCTCCATCCCGGCCCCAAACTCCCCTCTCGTGGGCACTGCCAACTTGGGAGATCAGATCCCCGGGTAAGAACCTCGGCCCGCCATATTGAGACGACCAGCACCGCAGTTGGGCTTGAGATAGGACATCTGTGGTGGAAACATCACACGCGCACACTCAACTGTTACTGCGTACGGATACTGCGCCTGTCCGTGCCTCCTCACCGCACGCAGCAGGACCTGACACGGCCAACCGCCAGAGGCACCGGTATCGCGGTTTTCGTCCTCCGTGGATGGCACATAGCTTGGCTCCAGGGCCCATGTACTTTACCACCGACTTCGTACTTGTAGGGGACCTCCGCCGCCCTACAGTCAGCAGGTAGCCAGTGGATTGCTTCAACTCTCCTCTGGTTGGATGCCACTGCCGGCCCTCTCCACTCGTCAGCGGGGATCATGAACGTCAGGAGAGCGAGAGAGAGCAACCTGGAACTCTCTCAGACTCTCACTCTCAGTCTCTCGAGACCCCCCCCCCCTCCCGTGTGCTGCTAACTTGCCCCAGCTGAGTTACCTTCATTTCGGCGCCAATCGCCTGGCATCCACGACAAGGCGACCCTCACTGGTCACCACACATAGTCACACACAGCCTTCACTCTCCATTCGCAAGCGGACGAACAGCCCTGCATCTTTCTGCAACCTGCCACTAGAACCGCACACTACTGCAGAGTCACAGGAGGACGTGGGCTGGACGCAGATGTGGGCTCTTATTAATCGCGCGCCTCTTGAACACCGGACTGACCACACAGCTCACCCTTGGGGCGGCGGGCCTGCCAAGTCATTGACAGTTGAACGCTGGACTCTACGGAATAGAGTGACTGGGCTCGCTCAAGCATCCTGCACGTTGTCAAAACAAGCCGCCAAACGCCCGCGCACAAGCCAGACAAAGTTCACACTTGCCATTTGCAGTCATAACCTTCACATTTAGGTGCACTACCTACCTACTACCCCATTGTACACTACCGCGTAAGTACAGCGGCGTCGATTCGGGGTCCAGATGCACTCTTTGATCTTGCAGTGATTAGGAAGAAAATGGGCCACCAGTCCACGAGCATAAGTACGGATACACAAGACGGGCCACTGTCGACCATGGAGTGACCGGCTGACCGCCCCATGAGCATCGCGAGATCACGGGCCCTTACTCAACGGAGCTGCCGTTGGGGGACTCCCCTGCTTTAATATTCAGCGGTGTCCCTTCGTCTAAAAGGGGCAGACAAACGGACACCGCTACAATACCAGGGACTCTCACTCACCCACTCTCGAACGGAACCTTGCGTGGCGGCACATCGGAGCGGTTGTGGGCTCTTGTCTCCTTCTGCAGCAGTGTGCCGTATTTCCCAGCGTACCATTCCTTTATTTTTCAACCGGATGAAATGATGTGCTTCGGGTCAGGGACTCCAGGTGTGATTTCCGCCTCTCGCGACCCTCCCATCCCCGCGCTATGCCCTCCGTTCATCCCGTAATTCCCGCGCGCGACGTGACGAAATGCGAATCTCGGCTCGTGTCTCTCATCGTTGACTTCCTCGAATTGGAGCATAGCTGCAGTGTGCCAGTGTCTCCTAAGCTCCTCTGAAGTCCCTTGTCATTACCGGAGAGATCCAGATTGGATCTCATGGTGTCTACTCAATTTTACCTATGTCGCCATACAAAGTTTTCGGACGCTTTGTGGGACCAGACGGGAATCGACCCATCTCTGCCTCGCAGCAGTAGCGGCATGATTACCTGGTCAAGGGGGAAAGCGAGGAGGCTGTGACCCATCTCAGATCCAACATCTCTCACGATAGTCTGTACGGAGACCCGTGCCGATATCATCGCGAGGTGTATGAAGCCAATGGCCCTTTGCACTATCCCGGAACCCTCCGGGGCTCCAAAAGTTTTGCAGATGCCATCATCTCTTGATTCTCGTAAGAGATCGACGCATTTCCCCAATGCCGTCTCGCATGATCTGATATCATTGGTGCTCCTATGCGGGGTCCCATGCCCTCCCTCTTTTTCTTTTTTTTTTGTGCCTCACCACCACAGTGATCACACACGCCTGCCAATCTGCGTCATCTTGCGGCCGACAGGTCCATCGCCTGTCACGGAGTGCATCGAGTCCGACAAGCGAGCGATCAAGCATTTTCAATCGTGCCGCTGAGGCATGAGACGGCACCGCGTTACAGTAGCGCCGTCTCCTCACGCACGTTTTCGTTTTGACGTAGACCGGCATCGCTGTGATTGCAAGAAGACGAATGGTTACCTGCGCTTAGGAGAGGGTTGGCTTGCTGTCACTTATCACGTTCCCCTCATTCGGACAAAAACATTTCAATGGGTGGTCAATAGCTTTTGACGTCTGGCATTTGGGATATTCTTATTGAATTCTCGAGGAGTCTTTTTTGACTCCTCCCGTGACCATCATAATCCTCCTTCCGGATTTTTGTTTGCCTGATTAACGCCCGAAGAAGACTGAAGAAAAGTTGTCATGCCATAACGTCAAATGCCTTGCCCATATGCCAAACCCCACCACGAATAATTAAACCGCTTTGCTACTACAGAAAGGGAAGAATTTACTCGGCACGGTACGCAGCGATGCGCTCCTTGACCTTCTGCTCCTTCTCCTCCTTTGTGAGGCGCTTGGTCTTGTACTTCTTGGACTCGGCCTTCCACTCCTCCTTGGTCTTCTTGTTTCCGGACTCCTCCTTCTTCCAGGGGTCCTCGCGGATGGCGGCGTGGGCCTCGGTGTAGAGCTCCTCGAGACCGTCAGCCTCGACGTCGTCGTCAATGTACTGCTGGAACTGGGACTTGTAGCGCTCCTCGTCGTCGTCGGCGAGGGTCTCCATGTACTCGGCGACGTGCTGGCCGAAGATGTAGTTCTTGAGGGTCTCGGCGTCGAGCTCCTTGGACTCGATGTCGTAGCCGGGGAAGCGCTTCTCGGAGTGGGGAACGAGAATGCCACCGTCAGAGGCACCCTTCATGGCGCCGAAGACACGGGCACCGGTGGAGGTGCGGTGGAGACCGACGTCGAGGTTGGCCTTGAAGGGGCGGCGCTCGCCGTCGTCGGTCTCGGCGGCCTCGGTGAGGGTGTACTCACCATCAGCCTCCTCAACACCAGTGAAGGTCTTGTCAAGGCCGAGCTTGGAGAGGGCACGGCGGGCGATCAGGAGACCGGTGGCGTAGGCGGCGGCCCAGTTGGTGAGGCCGTGGGTGATGCCGTAGGCGGGGAGCTCGTGAGCGTAGGCGGCGACGAAGACCTTGTCGCCGGTGAGCTCAGAGGTGACGATTTGCATGATGATGTCCCGGTTGGTGAAGCGGACCACAAGACGGTACTTGGGGGCACCGTACTTGTTCTTGGCCTGGGTGATCAGGCGCTTGCGGGCATAGTAGTCGGTCTTGCCGGATCTTCTACGCTTGTACTTGGTCTGGAAGCGACTGGAGTGGAAAGGTCAGCCAACTCTGATCTCGAAAGAACCTATGGATGGGGATCTCTAAAGTGATTTGAGACTTACCTGTAGTACGCGCTGTTCTTCACCAACTTGTGGAAAGCCTGTGTACGAAAGATCCCGAGTCAGCAATTTGCGCTTCAGATATGGCCTGTTGACCCGAAGCATCTTGCGTTGACTCTCAATCCCATGAGACATTTCTGTCTGCTATTGGGGGCCATTTCTTTTTCGCCATTGCTGGCTAGAAAGAGGAGGTTTTTGTCGCAATTTGTCGTTCGGCCATTTTTCAGGCTTTTGACGAGCTGATGGTTGATGTATCAACTTACCATCTTGACGGTATATGAGCGGGCGGTTGGCTCAAATTTGTCGGTGTGGGTGGTTGTCGAAGGGGGTTGTCAAGAGTAAAAAAAGTTCCAAGGCACAACTTCGCGATAATATTCCTCTGTGGGTTTTGGGGCAGCCCTAGATTGTGTGGCCCCACCTCTCCCCTCTCGATTGTCACTCCCAAAGCAGGTCGGGGACGAGTCACGTGGAGATTGGACTTTGGCCGGGGACGACATGGTCTGTGCACTTATGCTTACCTCATCTCGAGTGACCTCTCAATCCCTTCAGTGCCTTGGTGCTTTGGGCCGAGGTCCACTGGTACAATCCGCACCGAGGTGGGGGCTTTCCCCAGGTTTCGGCCCCCCAACCCATCGCTGCTCTCCACGGCTTCCAACGCTGGCCAGAGTTGTGGATTTACTACAAGTACTTCGTAAGAACATAGATCTGCCGTTTCTCGGAGCCATGCAGTCCTTAGAAGAGTCTGATACCTTTCTCATTGATCACGTTCTCGAGGCTGTAGACGATATGACAGACTCCAAGCAGCCCAAGGTGCTTTTATTCGACATTGGTGGTGTGTGTGTAAGTAGCACCCCGTGATTTTTTTCTGCTCAATAGACTCCAAGTCACCAATGCGTTATTGTAAATCATGCATATCATATCATATTTCAACGACGGCCAATTTTCTGACTTGACAAGGTCGTATCACCATTTCAATCCATCCTAGATTATGAGCTCAGTCTCGGTATCCCGCCAGGATGGGTGAATTACTCCATCTCCAAGACAAGTCCTACGGGCTTTTGGCATCGCCTTGAGACGGGCTCAATACCCATGGACCAGGCCTTCTTTGACGGCTTCAGCAAGGACCTTCACGACCAAGGCCGCTGGGAGGCATTCTACGCCGCTCAAAATGCAAAGAATCCATCTCTCCCTAAGGAGACGCCACCCCTACCTACCGTCGACGCCAAGTACCTCTTCAACACCATGATGGCCAACTCAATTCCCCCGGACCCGTGGATGTACCCGGCGCTGAAAAAGCTCAAGTCCAGTGGGAAGTACATCCTCGCCGCGCTGAGCAACACCGTCATTTTCCCCGAGGGTCACAAGCTGCATAGAAAAGACTTCATGGACGACCCCGTTCGCAGCTTGTTTGACGTGTTTGTCTCCTCGGCACATGTTGGTTTGAGAAAACCGGATCCGAGAATGTATCACCTCGCGCTGGAAAGGCTGAACGAGTACGCTGCCCAGAATGCGAGCTCTGAGAGAGGCCAGGCGCTCAAGTGGGGCGAGGGCATTAAACCACAGGATATCGTGTTCTTGGACGACATTGGCGAGAACCTAAAGGAGGCGAAGAAGCAAGGGTTCAACACTATCAAAGTCCATCTAGGACGAGCCTACGAGGCGGTAGAAGAACTAGAGAAGGTTACTGGACTCGCATTAGAGGGCAACCATCCAAAGGTCCCTGTGAAGCCGAATCTGAAGGGTAGTGGTAAGGCGAAGTTGTAGAGCCAGGTGCGCAAGGAAAGGTTCTTATTAGATGTAATAGCCGAGCCTAGGTTCTCCGGGCTACATAGATATAGAGAGCATCTACGTTGACGACTTGGCCGTTAACGGTAGCCTTTTTCCACTCTTCGTGAAATAGTGCCCTAGCCTGGTCCCTGAACTCTTCCGTCGGGAGACTGGTAACCAACGACGTGCTCGTGACATGCTCAAACTGCTCGTCAATCTGGTCCATACCGTAATATGTGTCTCCTTTCCCGGAAATGTTATGCATTAGTTCGATCCTGTCCACCACGTACCCTGCGCTCTCGAGAATCTTTGTGAAGGAGTTCTTGTCCGTGATCCAGGACCTGTTGCTGGGAAATCGTGACCGTAGGCGCCTAGCCGCCTTCTCCAGAATGAGTCCGATCTTGAAGTTGTCCTCATGCGTGATATCGATGACCACCCTGCCTCCCGGTCTCAGGAAGTTGCGCCACCTCGCAACGACACCCTCAGGGTCGTCAAAGAGAACAAAGGCGCTGGAGCACAAGATGGCATCAAAACTTTGCCCCTCCAGCTCCGGCAATGTCTCCAATTTTGTGGCATCGTGAAGGAACAGACGAATGTTTGCACTCGGCTTGAGGCGCTCTAGCTTCTCTCTCGCCTTGTTGAGCATGGCCTCGGTGACGTCGAGGCCGACGATCTCGCCCGTGTCGCCTACCTGGTCGGCAGCAGTGAAGACCTCGAGGCCGGTGCCGCAAGCTAGAATCAAAACGCGTTCACCGGGTTGGATATCGGCGACGGCCATGAAGCGCTTGGTCCAGTCGGGATGGAATGAGTTCTCATAGTTGTCAGCTCGCGCGGTGTACATGCGCTGAGATGAGGTTGCTTGTGTCTCGGAATCGAAGTCCATGTTGTTTGATTCTGCTCGTTCAATGTGTTTGAATCACTTCTGGAAATAAAATTTCAAGAATGTTGTGATGAGTGCGGGATTGAGTTCTTAGATGAGATAACGTCGGTGGCCAATTATCTTGAGTTAAGTCCTTAAAGTCCGGGCTTACCTACCCCGTCGGCAACACGATCCGATGATCTGCAAGCGGCGCAAACGCTTGTTTCCTCCACGATGCACGAATATGTTGATCAAGGTGAGTCAGCAAAACTTACATGCTTAACTCCAACTGGCACCCAAAGTCGGGAACCTTCGGTCGTATACAAATATCCGAATAGCTTCTTGTCAAACTCAAGGAAGCAGATTTTGCATGCTCTTGTATCCAATTCAAGACAGGACGATCCACTGATTGTCTTGTTACTTAATAAAGAACCTAGAGCAGGAGCACCATCAAGAGCACAGTTCATTGATCGAGTAAAGGTACGACAGGTGCTGTTAACACAATGCGCCGCCTAAATGAGAACGCGGAAGGACGTACCTACTTGGGTCTCTTCTCCTTCCTTCCTGTCATAAAAGGCGTAACAGGTTGGGTGGTCGAGTGGGACTTGGGGGGTTTCCAGAGTGCGACTTCAGTCCTTCGGCCACCTCACACCGACGCTTTTTTTTTTTGATTCCTTGAGGGTCAATCCCTTCTTCCCGCTTCGTTGCAAATGTCTTACTTTCCTCTTCAGTCTAGAAGGAAAGGAACAGCTTCCCGAACACCTTACTATCATGGCTATCTTATCGAACAAGCTCCTCCCACTGCAGTAAACATCCCAGATCACAGTACCATCTGGTCTTTGCCGTTCTAACATACGAATGACTGGGATTCTATGACTTGGGTAGGCTACAAAATTCATGCGCGCAAAAAAAACTTCCAGTTGTTAGGAAGAGAGGTCACAAAGCTGGCGGTCAGTCTCACCACCTAGCATCACGCGTTTGCGCAAGTTGGGTTTACTTGATGATGCAGTATGCCGCTCCGCATGAATAGTGTAGAACTGCATGAACACCCTAGAACGACCCGAAGAATTTCACGGAAGCCAGATGATAGTCATCCTTGGAAAATCTCTTGGTTCCTAACTTGTCTACACAATGAAGAGGCTGCCATATAAGTCAGAAGGGGCCATATCGTTTTCGTCACACGTTGTCAGCGTGCATGTTTCGTCCTCTTCAGCTAACGGAGCTCAAGTAAACACTGCCCTGCACCTACGCTGTCAGTCAAATGAACCTAGACCGAGAGATAATACCTCCCCACACCTGTCGGTGAGTATGGGCTAACGTAGCCATTTGCCCGGTAACTGCCAAGACTACGTAGTCTGCCGTGATGCAGCATCTTGATATGTTCAAGAGTGTTTACTTGTGAGCTTCCAAGCCTCAGGAACACGATGCTTCTAGAAGGCTCCTTTCCATTCATCTCGTCAATTTGAACAGCCTCATCTATTCATCCTTTCTCTTACACTCACATATCGCACCCATACCGTTTTGAACTACACCGGATCAGGATTATTGACCCTACGCTGGCATTAAAGCCTGCCTGCCTCGCTTCCCTGGTCAGCTGTTGTTTCGCAAGCGTAACTGCCCCAGCAGGCATCAAATGCGGTTGCTGGAGATTGCTTGGAATCCGATACTGCAAGACGTACGAGGCTTTGTGCTTGCGCCAAAACTCCAAGCTCAGCCAATCAATAAGGTGTCCGCTTCTCATATCTTGTGTTCTAGTCAGAGAGTCTTCTCTTTCTCAAATATAATGGAGGATATAGAGACAATATGCAACTGAAGCTGTCTTGTTTCTCGGATAATAGTGTAAGTGTTAGGTTTCATACTTTGTTACACTCTTTGTCGAAGTAACCTCACCGCCGTTGCGAATATTTAGCATACTGCAGAAACATATTCTAGCAGCTGCGGATGCCCGATACAGACCAGTTTTAACTCTAGACGGCTCTATTAGCCTTTCAGCTCATTCTCTAGTGCTTTCCATGACCTTCCCCGTGGCTGCCCATGGCCAAGACGATGACCACCAGTCTGCCGTGGCCGACGTGCAAACGGTCAGTCAGTCCGATGTGCATTTCAGAGAGCCGCATTCCATCTCGATGGGTTACAACAGCTTCTCTCCGTGTCTATTCCCTGATCAATGAGAAAGCAGCATCATTTATATTTCGTTTTTCCTCATCATTCCACCTCAACTCATAAGCAACCATGGTCGCCGCCATCAAAACCAAGTGGCTAAAAACCACGACCGAGCTCCAGACCTGCCTTGAAGTCAACATCAGATCCTGCTTCAACTGCCAGGGCCACTCCGCCACAAAGTCGTCTTGCGGCAACGCAGTTAGCCAGGCCTCTCGATCCGAGATGGCGTTCGTCATGCTCGACATTATCAACTGCGGTAGTCTGGCGTCTGCGTCTGCCCACCTCGAGCGACTCGCCGGTCTCGCCTTGTGCAAGAGATCTCACCAGCCACAGGCTGGAGAGTTGGCTACGCAGTGGAAGGCTCGGATCCGGTCTTACCTTGCAGTTTGTAACGAAGGCGGCGTCGCTAAGGAAATGGATGTCAAGGCTCCCGTGAGACCACAGCGCACAACCACAGCCACGGCCACGATCAAGACCAGGACCATGATCACGCCGCCTTCCACTCCCGTCGTCAACAAAAGGGACATTCAGCAGCCCGCGTCTACGCGATCATCACAGCGCCAGCGCACTGCATCGCCGCCCCCAGCCACACCGAGACGAACCATTCGAGCCCCAAGAGGCTCTGCTTCGTCCACCGCCGTCCTCATCGGAGAGGATCCCGAAGATGATTCCAGGGAAGAAGATTCTGAAGAGGATTTCGAAGAGGAATCCGAAGAGGAGGAGGAGTTTCATGAACCCAAGCCGGTCCGCAGCCACACTAGACGTGCTCGGGCCCCATCGGTCAAGTGGGAACCCAACGGTAAGGCTGGCTTACCTTACCCGTACCCAAGCCAGACAGAGGATCGAGAGAACCTCGAGTATAAGCTGGCCAAGGCCCAGGCGGAATTGACGATGTATGAAGCGTGGGCCAGACTTCAAAAGTTTGAGTAGGTAGGGGTGGGGGTTACTACATTGCAGTGATCGGAAGTTGGATGAGCTGGATGGTTTGGATTTGGACTGATTTTAGATTGTTTGGGAGGCATTTGTTTCAATGGGCACTAGATAATGAGCAAGGGTGTTCATAAATTCATGAGGACCTGTTAGCTTTCCTTTCATGGGGTCCAGGGGGGAAGGATTCGGATAGAGCAGCGCAGATACAGACATCACCCAGCGGAAAAAAGACAGTACCAATACTTTATGTTAATTTCAATCATAGCCACATTATTCTCATTACTCCAGCGCTTGATTCCAGGGCTCCCACATCTGCTTGTCATAACTCGCCATGCACTTCACCTTCTCAGGCGGATCAGCCTTCCAATCCACCCTGAAATCTTGCACCTCGTCCTCGCCTCCCACCCACTGACTGGTATATCCCTTTGCTGCCTTAATCTTCCTCCCGGCCTCGTCACTGTACTCTAGATTGACACTTGGCACCACCGCAATCTTGCCGAACCCGGCATTCCACAGATCCTTGCAGAAAAGCTGCGGCTCGCCCTGGAAACACTCCCCCGGCCCGGGCGCCCGAAAACTGACAAGTCGATCCACCAACGGTCTCGCCGTCATCGCCACGGCCCCGTTCCAGCACGAGAACACCTGCAGCGGCTTGTGGTCGAAGAAGCGCCGGCGCGAGGTATCCTCGTTCCAGAAGATGTTCCACGCAGAGTTCCAGTTGCCGTCAGGCGGAATCTCGAAAAAGGAATCGCCCGCGATGGTGCGGCTGATCCACACGTCGTAAAAGGTCGGATCGGGGCCGACGTAGGTCCAGTCGAAGCCGCACGTCATGTCGGCGCCCAGGTATAAGCGTTGGTGCGCGAGTTCGAGAATATCTTCTAGGCAAATGGCCACGTCGTTGAGGAAGAGAACTACTGCGTCGGCGGCGTACTTGCCTGGCCCACCGGAGACGAGGGGGGCGAGGGCCATGTTGCGCAGCTCGGCCAGTTTGGGGATGCGGTCGCCCGCGCCGGGGTCGAGGTCGCTGCGGGAGAAGTGATATTCGGTGCCGAGCTTCTCGATTTCCGGACGAAGGAGGTGGAGGATCTCGTAGGTGCCATCGCCCGAGTTGCCTTCCACTATTGAGAGGACACAATTCTCCGGGCCCAAGAAATGGAGTGCCTCGACGATGGAGCCTAGGAGTCGCGGGAGGAGGTCCGCCTTCTCACGTATGTTGAGGGCGATGAAGAATTTGGGTTTCTTGAGTGTGGTGCCTGGCTTAAGGTAATGGTAGCGTGAGATGTCGGGGCGAGGGCAGTCCAGCCTGGATAGAGATTTGTTGTCTGGGTCGAGGATCGAGGCGATGTAGAGCGGTGCGTTTTTGAGGTGTTCCGGGTTGGCGTCCGGCACTGTGGAGCTGGCGCCGTCGCCCACATCTGAGGAAGGCACCGGCGGTGGCGTCGGCGTCGGAGTAGAAATCGGGGGTAGTGGCGTATGCGACGGCGCGATCGCCGGCGATGTTACGGCAGTGTTCGTCTGATTTTCTTCATTGTGTGGAGCTGCTCCGTGCGCTGCTTCGGTCGGGTTTGGCTTTCCTGAGTCAAGTGTTAGTTCAATCGATGCTTCTTTTGACGTCAGGTTCGACGACGACGGCAAGGTGAAGGTGTGTGGTGAAGAGAGCGTACGGAATGGCTTGTACGCGATGTCAAAGTATTCGCGCCCCGAGAAAAGATCGTATGCGACGAGCAAGCTGATGAGCAACAGGCACACTACGCCGGCCTGTGCGATAGTGCTGTGTATCCTTTTCGCCATGGTTTTCTCATGAAGGATCGAGCCTTACCATCGTGTTCCAGGGAAGGGGCCAGAGGTTGTAGAAAGTGAGGAAGGAAATGAACAGAGAAGCAAAGGAGAAAGAAAGTGAAATCAGCCTCGAGTATGACAGAATGGATGTACAGGCAAACGCGCCTCTTCCGATCGAGGAGTGTGACCAGGGTTTTTGCTTTCTTTGGGGGCGACCAACAGTGAACACAGCTCAGGTGGCTGTTGGAAGCAAAAGAGCCCTTGTTCGTCCTCTCTCGCCAATGCCATTGCGAACCACTAATTACCCCAGGTAGACGCGCGCCCGCCTGCCCTGTTGGACGGTCGAAATCCGTGTAGTCCGTTGGTCGGGGGGTGGAGAGAGAGAGAGGCACAGCAGGTGTCTGAGAGATTCTGAGCACATCGTCCACCTGGAAGAAGAAACCAGGAGCAAGGGGCCGAAGGCGTTCACTCGTTGGCGCTTAACTGCACGATTCGCAATCGCGGCCTGGTTGGTTCGCTACACCACGATGGACCCACAGCCAAGGCCGTTTCCCATGCTTTTCTGGACTTCGTCGTGTTGGTTCTAAAATGTTGGTTTTATTCATAATGTTGCCCATCATCCTGGCCTGGTCTCACGGTTTCACCCCGAGGCTGGCGCATAAACCCCCCATTGTGTCGCTCCCTCCTTCGCCCGACCACCTCACCGCTGTGATGCGCACAGGAAGTTGCCTCCTCAGTCACCACGCAGCATGGCCTCCCGGTGGTCTGAGAGGCGCTCAGGACCTGACAACCTCACGGTGATTCGTCAAAAGGAAATGAGATAACCAGGGTGTTACCAAACTGTCGGGACAGAAGCAGGGCCAGAAGTTCACAACAACCTCGTTTCGAATCCCCTCGCCTGTTTGCAGGACCAGGCCAGTCTTTGAATAGAGTCAATGACCGTGGAGGAAAAACGCCACAGTAACGTTGGCCAAAGAAGGATCGCGTCGAGTACGGTACCCGGGCATTCGTTGTCCATGGCCTTGGTTTGAGGACTTGAGAAGGCCGAATCTCTTCGGTGTTGGGCGGCTTGCTGCATACTTAGTTCAGTCGCCTGCCTTTTCGCCCCCTTTCTCTGTCTAGCATGCTTTGATGTGACTTTCTCGTTCTGCAGACTGTAGATCTTTCTCTGTTGGTTTTGGTTGTACGACTTTACGATAATTATTGTTCCTTACGGACTCTCGCTCACTACACTTTACCACAATCTCTAGTCACATAGTATCCCTCTCATGCTATTATAGCAACATCACAGTTCACTCTAGAACACCAGCAGGGCTCGTCTTACCTGGACCGTCTGCTTCGCCTAGAGAAAGACGAGAAATAGAGAGGACAAAAAAGATCGTCCTGGTAATCCATCAAGAGCCCACGAAAATAAGAGTCCTGCTTTATGTACAACATTGTATTGCCGAAGAACTCGGGAACATCTCAGCACAACTCACCCAGCATGCCCCGAGTTCTTCTCCTTTCCCTCCTCCTGTTTGTTCTAGGACTAGATGGCGTCTCAGCAATCAACCTCCGATACGCGCCTCTTGCACCGCCAAGACCAACAAAGCCCCCCTCGCGCAACGGCACAAAGATCTCGAACGACGACCTGAAAAGACGACAAGCCGCCTCCGTGACCTCCGTGTGCGGATACTACAACGGCGACCCAGCAAAGGCAAGGACAGCTGATCCGGGTTTCGGCTGCCGGCTCGATATCGACCGCGGTCTCTGGGGCTTCTGTCCCACGACCGTCATCTCTGCCAAAGACTGCGGACTGGCCGGCAACTGCGTCGACTCTCGAAACTGCAAATCCGGCTGCGGAAAGACGGGCATCACAGGTCTGACGACTTTCACCTGGTGAGTTTCCTCCGTGTACCCCTGCTCCTCTCTCTGTGTTTTGTAAAACACAAACGGACCAAGAAAAGGGGAAAGGCTCACAGATATGAACCACAGTGCAACAGATAGATTCTGCTCCACCGTTATCCTCGAAGGGGGCTTCGAAGGAGGCTTCTCCTACATTGCCTGCGGCAACGCAGCGACAGTAGAAACGTTGTTCAAAGAAGCCATCAACACCACCGAGACACCAACGTCTATCATCGCGACTACTGTACGCATCACACCCACGGACGCCACCACAATACAATCAACCACAGCGACTTCTTCCTTGACATCCTCTCCTACCTCTACCACATCCTCGGGCGTATCTTCGTCCGCAACCCAGCCCACCTCGCCAGCGAGCCAGACAACCTCCCCTACAGACGGAAGCAAGTCATCATCCAATGGCTCAAGCAACACGGGCGCCATCGTCGGCGGCGTTGTCGGCGGTGTCGCCATCATCTGCGTTACAGTTGTCGTTGCAATCTACATTATGCGACGTAACAAGCGCACCACAGAGGAAGAATCTCAGGAGAAAAAGCGGGGGAGCCGCTTCAGGTCGTGGGGACGGTCGTCCTCGAAACCTCCCAACTATGAACAGAGCGAAGCTGTTCGGACAGATACACAAGGATTCGACACTGAACAGAACAAAATGTACGCCGGGTGGGGTCCGTCTGAAGTATATGGATCAGAACCACGAAGGGATCCCACGGCGGCCCCCGTTGAGTTGCCGAGCGCTTCCCCCGTAGAGCTTCCGAGTCGGAGAGGTTGATCAATCGTAATGATAAGAACATGACTAGAGATGACTGACGGTGCTAACACAGCCCTGAAGACCGAAGGAAATGTGGAGGGCTGAAGAGGGAAGGTGAGCATCGCCTATAAACCATTACATACTATTTTCCAGCAATGATTTCAAGTTCATGTGAGAGCTCGTGGTCGATAAAGCACCCCAGGCAACTATTTTATCAGTACACATGGTACTACTGGCGGCCATCAATGTAATTTGTAAACGATTTTTGTGTATTCTTAGGTGCTAAACGACAACACGTAGCCATGCTATGAGTAGACAAGGTTTTCGCTGATTCATGATCATATCCTTTTTGAGATCTCAACCAATCCGTCCTCTCCTAGAGGAAGGGCCGAGTTCGCCGACACAGAAACGCCGAACATTGGTAACGCTTATTGTAACGCGTATTTCTTTCCTTCCTTCCATATCCTTTCGACCATACATATATGTCCTGCCCCCTGGCTCCTCTTTCTATGTTCCGTGCAGCTTCTGGTTGAGGCCCAGCAGGAGCTGCTTCACCGAATTCATTAAGTGCGACTCGATTCCGTCGAAGCCCGCTGCGGGCGACCCCGAGGCGCTGGCTTCCGCAGGCGGCGGTACTATGCTCGCGTCTGCCAAGCCCAGCACTCGATCAATAGCGGATAGGGTGACTGCCTCGGCCTTGGCCTCGCCAATCCTGCTTTTGAGGGCATTCGACGAAACGTTCTTGAACCCTAAGAGAGAATTGAAGACCTTGGAATCAAACACATTTGTCGGCCCAGTGGGGGTGGGTGTGCCCCCTGATCCGGGAGTGTTGCTTCGGGTCGAGAAACCGTCGAGGAGCTTCTGTATTCCCTTCATACAGATATCTTCCATGGTCTGATTCTCTGTAGCGGCACTCTTGAGTCCCAGGCAGCGGTTGAGGGCAGACATGACGATGGCCTCTGCTTTTGGATTCTTGGCTTTCTTCAGGTTCTCAATAAGACCGTTCTTGAGGCCATTAACAGCTGAGAGTAACCTGGGCTGAATGACGGGACGTGGTTCGGCTTGCGCTGGTGGTGTAGGCGTAGGTCGAGCTTGCTGCGGCGGGGCAGCAGCGGGTATCTGTGGTGGGGGTGGTTGCGCTCCAGGGATGGCGGCTGGAGCAGGTTGTGTGATGGGCGGTGCTGAAGTTGCGGCAGCGCCTTCTTCGGTCTTGACTGCGGGATGAGCTGGAGGTGGTCTTGAAGCATACGGTGAACTGTATGTAGAAGGCTGCCCTGCGACACCTTGAGGTCGTGCAATCGCAGCAGCGGCCCCGTATCCAGGGAGCGTCACTGGCGCCACTGGTTGAGACGTCACTGGCGGTGCGGGCTGACCAGGGTTCGGTACCACGCCGGGGGGAGAGTATTGTGGCGTTCTGGCTGCTGTCTGCGCTTGCTGCCCTGCATAGGCTTGCGCGTGGTAGTTATGAGGAAGATGCTGGTAGCCAGGAGGCATGTGACTCTGCTGCTGTTGGGCGTACTGAGTGTACATTGGGTGGTTGTAGTGACCATAGCCCGCACTCATAGAACGGTCCGGTGACGTCGCCTTGCGCTTCTTGCCGGCATCGAGTTCGACACCGGGCACCCTGGACCACAAGCCTGTGGTATCGTCCTTCTTGAAAGCTTCGTTCCCGATAAGGTTATGTCGTACACTTGACTCCCAGCCCTTTGTCTCCGTGTGGAAGTAGAACCACGGGTATCTCTGGGTAATTCGCTTATAAATCTGTTTGAGGGTGAGACCGTCAGGCCCTGCCGCAGTGAGGGTCTCGTCGATAAGCACTCCGTAGTTCTTGTTCGGCTTCTGCAGCTGCTCCTCCGTGTAGTCCTCGATCTTGAGTTCGAGCGGGGGCGACTTGGGACGAGCCTTCTTTTCCTTCTTCTCTCTGGCGCGTCTTTCGGCATCTGATCCTTCGAGACCGTCTTCGCCCTTTGGTTTCCGGGGCTTGTACTTGCGCTTCTCCGGTCGATCTCCTCCTTCGTCTGGTAGTGGGTGTTTCCTAGGACGGCCGACCTTCCGCTTGATGGGAGGCTCTCCAGGAGGAGGCTGTGGTATCGTCTTCTTAGCCATCTCCTGCTGAGCTTTCTTAAGAAGCCGCTGCTCTCGCTTGGACATGATTCCGTTCTTTGGTGGCCGGCCAGGTCCTCTCTTCTTGTTCAGATAGCCTAATGGAGCACCTCCCATGAGAAGATGCACCATTTCTTGGTCCTCTGGCTTGACCTCTGTGGTAGGTTGGATATCGTCTGCTTCCTCTCCATAATCCAGTGACATCTCTCCTTCGGCATCAGCTTCGGCATCGGCATCAGCGTCAACATCGGCTTCAGCATCGGCTTCAACATCGGCCTCATCGTCTGCCTCTGTTTGTGTTTGCGCTGCTTCTGCAACGTCGGCTGCTGCCTCTGCCGTCGCCTTTTCTGCGGCGGCGGCTGCTTCTGCCTTTGCTTCCGCTTCCGCCTCTGCCTTGGAGCTACTTTCTGCCTCAACTTCTTCCTCCTCTTCAGCTTCGACATCGGACATTTCTACGTCTGATGGCGCTGGTGAGCTGAGGGAAGAATCGCTTGTGTCGTCAAGACCGTTGCCATGTGAGGCTTCAAACTCGAAGCTCATCTCCTTTCCACCAGTCGCTTTCTTCTTGAGTTTCTCCTCCTCTTCTGCATACTCCTCAGCACCTGTCCGGCCTTCTGGAACACCATTGATGACGAAGCGAAAATCAACGTCCTTGATTTGCAGGTGATCACCACTCCGGAGCACGGCGACGCCTTCCTTGTGGTGCACTTCATCGATGAAGAAACCATTCTTGTGCAGTGGAATGGCCTCAAAGACCCCTTCTCTCTTATTGAACTGGATCTTGAGATGCTCTCTTGAAATAGCCTTGGTTTTGCTGGCGATATCAGGTCCGGGCGAGTGGATGCCGACAAAGGGAACGTGGTGGGGAGATGGCCGTAATGAAGCCAGATCCACGGCTGCAGCTCCCGGTGTATGTGAGACATACTGCCGATTTGAGATGAGTTTCTCCTGTGACTCGTCCTCTTCCTGCTTCTGTGATGATCCGGTGCTGGTCGTCTTGCGGCGCTTGGCTGGCCGCCCCTCCCCTTCACTGTCGGACTCGGGTCCCAGCATGCCTCCCTCTTCGCTGACGTATGACTTGCTGAACTTCCCCGGCCCATGTCTGACAGGGGAAGGAGGCGGAAGGCCCTCGCGTTCATACTCTTCCGCCTTCTTGCGATAGGCATCATCGCGCTTCTGGTCTCTCCGCGCCTGATTTAGAGCCTTCTGATCGCGACCAATAATGACGGCGTACGTGGTCATCTGAAAGACACTGTCGGCGAATTCTATACGCGCAAAGGATTCGAGACCCTGTGTCGCCGCGGCGAGGTTATGTGTGCTTGCGACGAGCGGATCGTTGCCGTTGCCCATGGTGCTCGGGAGGGTGACCTGCGCTGGCGTGACGGTCGGCGGCGGTGACATTTGATTGGACATTTGGTTGCCAGCCATATGCGCCAGAGCCATCATCATGTAGGCGTGGTCCATGTTCGGCATCGGGGTGTGTGGGAAGGACGAGGCGAAAGGGTCGGCGTCAACCTGCACGGCTGAAGCCGGCTGCGACATTGTCGCGGGTGGAGCGCTGCCGGCGTCGGCATCGGCCATGAAGGTGTCGACGGCTAATGAGGTGGTCTGCTGTTGGGTGGACGCGTCTTCGATAGATGGGTGTACGGTTGTAGATGCGTCGGTGCGCGATGGTTGCTGCTGGTCAGCAGTGTTCGTGGCGATGTGATTGTTATTGTCTTTGTCGTCGGGGTGGTCAGTTCGGCCTGGTGTCGTCGACTTGTGCTTGGGCGGCGGCGTGGTCGGAAGGGGCGCCAGGCCATTTTGGCCGGCGTTGGACGAAGTCATCGCTGCTCTGTAGTCGGACAGATCAGCTCCTTCGCCGTCGGCAAGCCAAGAGAGGCGATTTGGTCAGGCGCGACGAGGTATGGACCTGAGAAAGGCTGCGATCGAGACGGGCGAATGCCAAAAAAATCGGCGTTGAACAATTCAGTCCTGGCTGCGATTGACAGGGTCAACGGAAGCGTCTCTGATTGGCTGTCGGTGAGATTCACCGTGGACACTGAACACACCAGCCTTCTTCCCCGCGCTGTACAAGTACCCAAGTACCTTTTTTTCTTCCAATAGGAGGAAAGAGCCTCCAGTTCAGCCCGTCCCTGCCCAGTCAGGTCCTTTCCTTCTCAGCGTCTCCGTCGCTGCCTTCCTTTCCGTCGTACGCTCCTTCCATCTCTGTCACAATCGTCACTGCAGCTTCCCACCACAATTCAATGGAAGGAACAAAGGCACCCCAATCCCATTGAAGGCCCGAGTGACGATGACTCATCCTGCTACTTCACCATGAACCTTTGATGCGGCCAATTGCATTCATGTACGTCCTTCAATGCCTCAGCCTTTCGTCGGACCCAGCGCTTTGGTTCGGCCTAGATCTTGCGGTGAACAGCAAGGCTGTTCACGATGCATCTCTTCGGCCAGGGTCCGAGAAAAAGCCTCATCCGATTCCTTGCAGACTTGCAGAGGCAAAGGCAGCACCACCCTGCGTAGATCGCCCACTTCTTCCGACCTCGGTGTCCACTTGTCTCGGTCAAGCCCCAATAGCAAACCATCCTTCGGTGAAGGAGTAGCTCACTGAACCCTCTGCTTGATTTTCGTGATCCTTGGAGGCATTCTGTAAGTATTAAGGGCTTGACGCGGGACTCAGATGATTTAGTGAGTCTCTGAGATTGATCAATGTATCATTTTTGAACTCAGGGGTTTATTTCCCCTTGCTGCTCAGTCTAGCACATTCAGAGCTTAGGATGGCAAAAGTTTGATCAACAGCAGGTATCCGTCTCAGAAAGCAATCCGAAAAGACGTGTGATATGCATCAAATTCATATGTGCCCATGTAAAGAGCCTGTGAGTTGGCTCAACAGCCAGTAAATATACACATAAATCGTATTTACCAAGCAAGTAGATCTCGAAAAGACTCCCGCGTTACAGTTATACAAGAAGCCACACGCCGCGCTTCAAATATTTAACTCAGAAGCGGCGCTCGCTCGCCAAACAGAGACCGGCCCCGTCTGGACTCCCACCACTTCTGCGTCCTCTCTGAGACCCGGTACGCCCAAAAGCACAGCATCCCTGCAATGAAGCCAATAGCATCGTTCCTAAACGCAAGGAGCCCAGCCGTGGTCACGAGCATAACAGTCCACCTCTCAGCCCTCTCCTCATCAGAAAGCGAGCGATGCTGCCTAACAAGCCCCCCAACGCCGCCACCCTCGTTGCCGGCAGAGCTCTCCCATAAATCAGAAGCCCCGTGATTCAAGCTGTGCCCGACCTTGGCGAGCTCGAGGCCGGCAGCGATGACCATGACGCCCAGCAGGCTCTTGGGGTAGTGCGTGAGTAGGCCGATGAGGGAGTTACCAAAGACGAGGCCCAGCACGATCTTGAAGATGCCCAGGATCACGACGCTCGCGCCACTGCGCGCTCCGAAGCGGTACTGCGCCGCGAGCCCGCCCGCGCCGTGGCACACCGGCATGGCGCCCCACCAGGTGCCGACGAGGTTCATCACGCCGACGCTGATGCCCATAGCGGTCACAGACGGCGTGGGCATGTCCGGCAGCAGGTCCGCCGCGAGGGCGCTCACCGCGATGACCGAGTTCAGGGTGGTGAGCGGGAGCTGGCCGATGGCCATCGACAGCGGCTTGTACTTGAACCAGTTGAATTCCCAGTGCACAAAGTGCGGGGTCCAAAGGCTGGGCTCCGGCAGGTAGGTGTGCGGGTGGTCGTGCGAGGTCATGATGGAGATGAAGGCGAAGACGAGCGACAGAATAAAAATGTGCAGCGCGTAGGGGAAACGCGGCAGGCTCTGGGTGAAAATGAGCACGAGAAAGGCGGCCAGGGCCCACAGCCTGTTATCGAGGACGGGATGGGTCCAGTGAAGGTCCCGGAGGAGGCCGGAGCCGGCGGCCATGACGAGGGAGAGACCGGCACCGAGCTGGATGCCTTTGACGACGGGAACGGGCACGTTTCGCGTGACCCAGCGTAGTAGGCCGGTGAGGCTCATGACTAGGACGGCCAGACTGACCCACTGGCCCGCGGCCATGACGGTTTTGATGCCGCCATATTCGGACCGGGAGATGGCTGCCGCGGCGATGGCCTAGACGTAATAGTCAGTAATGAACGCACAATTACAATCTCTTGCTTAGATCTAAGCACTCACTTTCATCGGCTGGACTGGAAGTGGAATGCCAAAGACGGCGCCGGTAACAACGTTGAAAATGCCTGAAAACACCAAGGTGCTATCGAGATAAATGGAGTGCTGGACCGCAAGGGCGATCATTAGAGGAAGAAGGGTTCCCAAGTCACCGAGGGCGCCAGAGACCTCTGCGGCGGGAGAGCCGCGCAGAGTTGCGACATTATGTTGATGGACTCGTTTTAGATGACTGAGAACCGTCATGATGCGGGGAACTAGTCGGGCTTTCTGCTTGAGAAATAAACTGGGGGCGTAAAGACGTAATTTGAAGAGATACTGGCGAAACGCAATAGCAGAGCGCCAAAGACTTTGACTCTGAGCTTTGAAAGGACGGCCAAAATGCAACTGATTCACCGTTCTGCTGGACTCGTTAGTGGCTGACGACGCCTTCAACTCTCAGGATGATTGATATTGAACGTAATTCATGTCAGCGTGCGTACTCGCACCCCAACTGCGACGCGGCAGCTTCCGACTGTACTGTTCGGAGCAAGCAACTCCTCGGCCGGACGTCGAAGTTGGCGGTGATTGGTTGCTTGACCACCGATGCTAGGCGTCTCCGCCCGCGGCCCGTTGTAATCTGCAGCGCATGACCTCCTCAGTTCCTCGCTTCAGTTCTCCAATACCTTACCTAAGGGAAGATAGCACGATAGATACCTCCAGTCTCCAAATGCTGATGAGCCGACTTGCTTGGATAAACATTTCGTCATGTGCCGAATGAGCGGGTCAGCATATGATCTGACCCATCGTCGCCGGACTGAAGAGATTATATAAGACAACCCAACCTAGCCCAACAACGGGAGGTGGCGGCAGTGGAGAGAATTGCAAACGGGATGACTGAGCTGGCTGACGACCGAACAAGGAGCCGACGGGAGTTACCATCTAGCGGCCAGGGACGGGCGCACGCCGGACATAAATGCTAGTCCCTGAATAAGAGCCTGCTCTTTCGATGATAAGCAGCAAGCGCCGAATTGGATCCATCCGTTGAGAATGAAATAACAGAAAGAATGAGGAAAGAAACTCGCGCTGGGGCAGCGGAAGGGACGGCGGGTGGGATTCGGGCTGGACGGATGCTAAGGTTACCCATGTGTCTCATTGAGTGCAGAGGCCCGGCCGGTGTGAATAAATGGGGCCTTGTCACCTTGGAGCTCCGCGGAAACAGATTATTGACCTGCCGGAGCTTCGCTTTGGTTATCTTACGATGGAGATGCAGTCTGGCTGCTCTGGCAGTACGTTACGGGCTTGCTATGAGGTTTTTGTCATCAAATCAGGATGTCGATGGTGGGCTCGTTGTGACGCTGCAAGGAAACGGTCGCTTCATCTTCGAACGGGATCAAAGGGATTGAAAAGGTCCCAAGACGGGAAAGATGGGTGTTGGATGACTGATCAGGTGAGTGTTCTTCCGAAGGGACGATGCAGCAGCGGATCGAGGGGTGGCTGGGCCGCGGAACGAGCAGTCATCGGCCCTGACTAGGCGCGACGCCCGTTCCGATGGTGATGGGTTGGTACTTTGCCTGCCGTGTAAGGACTGAGACGTGATGCGGACAAAGGAACATTGGGGGTCCATCATCTGCAACCCTCTGCTTGCCTCCTGCTGATGAGTGATGGGTCATGTTTGTTCATGTTTCTCAGTGCTGAATTGAACCAACCCCACGTAGGTGCACAGTGCTGCGATGATCGTCTTTGCTTGGCTGGGGCTCAGCCAAATGACCGATTCGGGCAATCTCTTGGCCCAACTCAAAAGAAGTCATGAACTTCCATTGGACCAAGTCGCCAACCCTTTGCTAACTTGTCCGCAGCAGCTTGGCCGGGCGCAGTCTAATAAGCCTGAGAAAGGGAGTTCCGTCTGGCAAATATGCCTCACCTAACCAAGAGTCTTGGAGTTGAAGCCATTCTCAGGTGCCGATACTGCCAAGGCTTGTCATTGTCGAGGCAAGGTGACTTGCCAAGGTGTGCGCAAATTTCGAGCATTCAGTAGTGCTGTCAACACTGCTCAGTGCTCCGTACCCGTAGTGCCGTACTCTCTACCCGTAAGGTACTAAGAGTCAAGACAATAACAGGAAAGAAAAATGGGACGTGACGGCGGTTACTAAGTGCATGAGCAGTCAACAGAAGCGACCATGGCAGGGTAGTCAGTCAGGTACGGCGGTTCGTTTGCTGTGGCATTCCCGAGAAATCTCCCAGTTGCCCCAATGGAACCTGGAAACATCGGTGAAAGCAGAAGACAAGTGCCAGACTCATACTATGGAAGGAATTACCTTAGTACGCAACTGCCATGATCGTCATAAAGGGACGGCGGCGGCAGCGACTAACCTAAGCAGCAGAGTCAGATGGGTCCAAGTGATGATGACAGAGAGCCATGAGCTTGAAAGAGTTAAGAGTCTGCCTACCTAGTGTTGCTGCCACAAGGTATGCCAATATCGTAAGGGCGCGGAATCAGTAGGAAAGCAGATGCAGCCCACAGCCCGGCGGAGGTCGGCGAACCGGTGGCCCTGCGAACCCACCGGAACTTGAAGGGTGTGCTAGGGCCTTATCCCGGCTCCGGCCCCATGAGATGATCCATGTCATCCAATTGTCCACCCAGTCTGGCAGACTCTGTGCGCAATAGCACTACCTTAGGCTAAGGGCTATTGTTTAGTCGTGAATCTGGAATAGCGTTGTGGCTTGCGAATGCCTACCTTACCCTACTACGTCAGAGGGGAGCGGGAAAGCAACCAGAGAGCTTGATGCTGGTGAGAGATGGAGATATTCCCGCAGCAATAGGTAGAGACAGATGTACAACAGATAAACAGACGGGCTGCAACTGTTGCGCTACAGGAACACACAACACACGCACTCCCCTGTATCGGGCGAGGAGTGTAAGTGGTGATGACAGGGGGCCTCGAGCGATCAGGCGTGGATTCCCCACGCCGGGATGCCTGTGATGACCCTGCCGTGTTCCCGGCATCCATGGAGACAAGCTTTTTCTGTTGCTCGCTTGGCGCCGTTCTCTCTGCCACTAGCAGAGCAACCGCGACCGCCGATGCCACCTCACGAGTACTCTTCACACACTAAGGCGCTACACAGCAATGTACGGATCGCGACATGCCAATGGTGGCAGTTCACCACCAAAGAGTGCCCAGACGTGATGACACCGCCAAGTACCGCGACCTGTGAAGATACTTTCTTGTCGCCTTTCATCGTCAAGCTTCTACCTACAGATACCTCAAGTACCTACCTACCTTACCTTACGGTGATGATGAGGTACATACCTGGCTAAGATCCAATGGGAAAGACCTTCCCATCACCATTGGGTCTTCCTTCTTATTGATTGCTCGCCTTGCCAATCAGCCGACTATTTGAGCAACTATTTCCTTCCTCGCCCGCCCTCCTCATTAACCCCTCCCTTCCCGACTTACCTTACCTTACCTTCCTCTTCGCCGTCCTACTTCTCTCATCTGTCCTCCAGCTCAATCACTCGACGATCCAATAATCAGTCAATTCCTTCCCCAATTGATTCTCGTTTCCTCTCACAAAGGTATTCACTCTCATGCTGCTTGACCTCTCCATAAGCTCCAGCTTCATAAGCCAAGCTTCGCACCGTCGACGCTGACAAACTGCGCTTCTAGCCGGCCTCCCCTAGTCGCTGCGATCGAGCCACCAGGTCCTTTTCCCCACCTCACTCTCATCGTCCGACGTTGAGCTCTCTCTCATCTTCAGCCAAGGTAAAGTAACTTTCTCTCAGTGCGCATTCTTTCCAAGTCTCAATTCTGCTGCAAAAAATTGTTCTGGAATGTCAATTGGTCTTTGCGACAATCTCTACGAGCTTCGCCCAGCATCCGACAAACACATCATGAAGAAAAACAACATGTGGATATCATCTCTAGACGCCAACGCCGGATACCCCGGGAATGACGATGGGCGCATCCAAGTTCACAGGGCTCTAAAAAACAAAAGCAGACGGTCGTCTCCATAAAATGCCTCAATTGGACAAGCTCCCTCACCTCTAGCTCTGATGATTTTCTACGGATCCTGACCGCATTGGGAAAGCATCACTCATCGCAAACAGTCGCCGCGAGCTTTCCTCTCATACTTATTAACTCACTCGCCCGTCATCATTGCTCTCTATTTGGCTTTTCGATTTTTGCTACTCTTCTTTGCCTTATCAATCCTCTTAATCCAATTTGCTGACCAGTCTCTTCTTCTTCTTCGTACAGCCGACTCTCCACTCAACTCACCTTCCGTCAAAATGCCTGCCGTCAACACCCTCGTCGCCCGCGACGCCGTTCACCAGCTCGCCAAGCGCCAGAACTGGGCCCAGCAGGAGGCCGGTGTTGTCGTCGTCTTCTGCATCATTTTCATTGTCGCTCTCGGTGTCTCTGGTCTCATGATCTCCAAGTGCCTCGCCAGGCGCAAGGCAGAGAGACAAGCCAAGGAGTCCCAGGCAGCATAAGCAAGACCTCGTCACCTCTTACAGGGGCCAGAAAGAGGGGAGCGGAGCTGGGAAAGTAATGAATCAAGCTCCAAGCCGAACACGCTTTGAAGCCAGCAGAAAGTCGACTCTCTTAGTCACTTATACACCTACGACACGGTGAAGTTCGACGAGAGAGTCGCAACTGGCTACATGCGAAGGAGCCAATACCATCTGTCGACAGCAATCATGTTCACACCACACACACCCACACCAAACGGATCACTCACTACCTACCGATTGCCGGTTTCGATTCTCGACACTTCGTCATAGTCTGCAGGATTGGGGTCTCACGAAAGGCGTGTACTAAAGAAAAGACATCCGGGCTGTACATGGCAGTATCACGACTACACGGGGGTTAATGCGCCAGGGGGCGGCTGTATGTCAATCGCGATGCCACAGATACCTATTTCACACCAATTTTAATGATACCTATTTCACGTTGCGCAAAGCAGTTCAATCGTCTCTCGACCATCGTTGACATCTTGTGTGTTTGCTGGAGTGTTTATTCAAGATCTTGCTTTCACTAACACAGACCTTCCTTGCCTTCTGCTAGTAAGTGACCCAGAAAATTGGGTCTGGTTGTAATCCGCCCTTCTCTTCATCTCCATTTTCCGTTTGAGAGAACCTGTCCCAATCCCGTTGATTTCATCTTTACCAGTGTAAGGTAGCGATAAAACCCGGACATCAGATGGCATAATATCAGCATGCGACTGACTAAATTTTTTCTCAATTCGGTGAGCAGACACCCCCGTCACAGGAAATCAGACCGAAAAAGAACTTGGCACCGATCGCGCCGTGTCCCTGATGCATGCAGCCACACGTGGGACTTTTGAGACAAGACGCCTCTTTTGTATCTTGGTGCTCATTGCTTACCTACTAGTACGGAGACATTCCAGAGGCGCATTCATGGTGAGGAAGGTTACCTATTAGGTGCTATATCTTTGGGACTTGCGTCGCGCTTACATGCCCTCCCAACCCGAAAGGATCGCTTAGCTGGGCCAGGTCGCCGGGTTTTCATCTGCTAGTGCTGACGCGTGAAGGCCCACCACTTTACTAGCAATCACAAACCCGAGATACTAAATTCTTATCCCGGACCGGGTTAACGAGCCTGGAGTTCATCCGTGATGACGGCCTCACCTTGTAGTCGAGGCCTCAGCTCTGTTTTGTCGGTGCTATGTCCGCGTCGTATATAGGGTCATGCGCTTCGCTCTAATAGTCCCCGGGTCGTCTACTGTTTAATGGGTTCACATGTTCCTATTGCGCGGTTTCGAGCAAAGAGTGCTCCAGTGTCCAAACGTATTCATCCGCCACAAGTTATTATCACTCAATACGAGCCAAGCCAGGCATATCAGACCACAGCCTCCAACAATATCCAGAAATGGTAATCAGATCCCACGATACCCTCGCAATGGACCCACAACCACCGCCCCCGAGGCCCGACAGCCCCCCGCGCCGGCTCCGCGCATGCGCGCCGTGCACTCGGGCCAAGGCCCGCTGTAACTTCCGCGAGGAGAACGCCCGTCGGCACCTCTGCGACCGGTACGTGCTCCCCCCACTGGCTCGAGAGGGCGAAGAAGAGTTATGGCATTCTGTCTATGGGAGTTGGATTTGCCGTTCATAACCCATGTACACTGGGACTGACACGAAGTGGCGGGGGTTTAGATGTGAGCGGCTCAAGATTGACTGCTCGGCCAAGACGAGGGGTATCAGGAGGACGCGGCAGATCAAACCTCTGGTCAAGTAAGTGTTGTTACTCATGGGTCACCCGTCTCGTTCGCCAAAACTTCTGATGATGGGCTGGGTGTGAACGCACCCACGGGAATAGTGGCATCTCGAGATAACAACGGCCCTGGCTTCAGAATTCAACTAACATGAACAATCACAGCCGCGTCGCAACACTAGAACAACAAATAGCGCATCTCGTAACACCAGAAAAGTCCCCGGTAGCCTCGACACCCTCAGCAGAGACCTCAGGCTCAACTCCCTCAACCTCCTCGCCTCCCTCTCACCCAGACTCAAACTCACACTCCCACCCAGCACCCCTAATCCAAAGACGCCAACCAGGCCCCGTAACCCAAAACCCCCCCTCCTACTCCCACTCCTCTTCTTCCTCCCCCTCCTCCTCATCCTTGATCGTAACAACATCGACGACGACAAAACCACCCCTGGGCCTGACCTGGTTCCAAGCATCCAACGTCCTCGCCGACTTCCGCGCAAACTTTGTGCCCAACTTCCCCTTCATCCAGGTCGACGGGCCCTCGGTAGACCCGGGCTCCGGGTCCCCGCAGCGGCTCGCGCGCGAGAAGCCGTTCCTGTTCCGCGCGGTCATGCTCGCCGCCGCGCCGGCGGGGAAGACGAGGGCCGAGGCGATGCACCGCGAGTTGTTGGCCGAGATGGGGGCGCGGATGATGCTCGAGGAGGAAGGCGGGCTGGATTTGTTGCAGGGAATGCTGGTCATCATATTGTGGTTAGTAACGGCCCCGTCACCTTTTCACCGACTTACATCACGTTCCTCGCCGGCGTCTACTGGTGTCTTTTGAAGATAGAACCCCCCCCCCCCCCTCCAAAAGAAGCATCCCACTGACATTGCACGTCATGAAACAGGGCGGAATGTAGATACTGGTTCGACAAACAAATCACCCGCCTCGTCTACACGGCCCTGGGCTACGCCCACAGCCTAGGCATCACCAAACCCCCGCGCTCCCTCCTCCAGCCTTCGCCCTGCCGCCCCGGAGGTTCTCAACAACAACAGCAACACTCATACCCGCACCCCTACCAACAACAGTGGCAGCAGCAGCATCGACAACAACAAGAACCAGAAGACTGCTTCACCAACAAGGCAGCCCTCAGCGCGACGGAGCACCACACCCTCGAGGAGCAGCGCACCTTTCTCGGCCTCTTTTGCGTCGTCTCGTCCAACTGCGCGCAGTTCGCCCGCAAGCAGAATCCCCTCCTGCACTGTCTCGGCTCGAACGGGCCCGGAAGTGGGTCATTTTCTTCGTCTTCTCAGGGGCAGCAGCAACGAACGGGCCTCGGGTATCTAGATATCTGCTACGAGAACCTAGCCGCGTCAGGGAGCCTGGAGGACCGGATGGCGGCGAGGATGTTCAAGATGGCCGCCGTCTCTGCGCGCCTCACTGATGGGTTCGGTCCCGTGATGGATTGTGAACGCGGAATGGGAAGGGGAATGGGCGAAGGGTTCGAGGAGGAGGTGGGAAGACTCCGGGCGCAAGTGGATGATGTCTTGGAGGGTCTTGATCCGCGGGATCCTTATTACGGTAAGCCATCCCCTCCTCTTACTCTTCTCCCAAAGTCCATGATGATGTCTTTGAAGCCCCTCTCCAACAATGGAAGAAACCGTAGCTGACATTCAATCTCAGCATACCTCAACCTGCAGCACAAAGCTCTCCTAGTCCAACTCTACGAACCAGCAACAAAACACCCATTTCCCTCCTCATCATCATCTCCATACCCCGCAGCTTTCCAAAACACCACCACCGCCACCACCCTAAACCGCACAACCTACTTCCAAGCAGCCCTCTCCGAAGCAAAAGCCTACTTTGCCGCAACCCTCGCCCTGCCCCCCGAAGCCTACGTCTACCGCACCTCAGTCGGCATGGGCCTAGCCCAAGGCGTCCTTGCCGTCACCACGCGACTGCTAATCCTCCACGGCGTCCCGGGATGGGACCTCCCCCGCGCCCGCGCGGACGTCAAATTTGCAGAAATCTGCGAAAACCTGGTCGCGTTTCTCGGAAGGGTGCTGCAGGTGGGCAGGGAGAGGATGGGCCGGCTGAAGGAGGAGACGTGGGTTCGGGGAGTCGGTGGTGGGGGCAGTAGTTGTGGAAGGGCATACAATACCCTCGAATTCGACTGGGATGACATCAATGGTGGAAGCGAGATCGATGCGAGGGGCTCCATGTGCGAGGACTTGATTGGCAAGATGAGCTGGATCAAGGGCTGGTATGAGAGCCGTGTTCGAGCGGAGGACGGCGGCCTGACTACCGCTACCACTCCTGCCACTGCTGGCGGTGGCGTCGGGAATGCAGAAGCGGCAAATAAGGAGTTGATGGAGGAGATTGCGAGGATATGGCACTGGCCTGCGGACGCGGCGAGTATGCCCATGTTTGGGGGTTTGATTAATCCCTTTGATATCTGTTACGATAGTATTTGACGAGACACGATGTCCTTTCACGATTCCCAGCTCAAAGAAATAGACTTTTTGAGCACGTAGGCGTATTCGCTATGCTATGGCTATGTAGAGAAATGTAGAAATACAAAATCTGGGTATGTCCTGGGTCTCATCCGTTCGCTTGTCGTTGCGCCATGGTGATAAGCAAAGTCAGTCAGTACAGTCCATCGTTACATACGGTCTACCACCTCCATCCCTCGAATCCAGGCCATCTCTGAAAGCTCTCTTGGAATCTTCTGTCGCAGACGCACACACAACGGAGTATGCATCAATTATTGCCTCATTTGAATACACAACCGCTCGCTCAGAGGAAATCCCACGCAATCAGCATCGGCAGTGCCACCAATAGAAATATGCAAGAGATGAGCGCTGGGATGACGGGCGGCACAGACTCAGCTGCTTCCTCGAGGAACCAGAATAAGTCGGCTAGCGGTACGAGAACCACTCTACGGAGCAGGTCGATGGCGCTCCGTGAACGACGGCAGCAGCGGCAGCGGGTCCAGAAGCTGTGGCGGTAGTTGACATCGTCGTGCTTTGGTGCTGAGAGAGCATTCCGCACATCGGCACTTAGGTCTGGTAATGACCGGGAAGGAGGCCGACCTTTTGTCCGTTGTCAGCATGAAGTTTCATGATAGTCCTCGAGAAATAAAAGAGATGAACGCTGAAGCATGCAAGATAGGTTGTATGACGGACTGTTACAGTGGGTGAGATGGTGGGGACATCAACGGGAGTAGGTGGGTGCAGATGGACAAAATAAGTGGAGGACCGGGAAGAAGAGAAGATGCCAAAAAAAAAGTAGGATTAGGCAAGTGGGTAGGGTTGAACGCCGGAGACTCACCGAGAGGTGTCCGGGGCGGCAGCGGCGACCGGGCGCCGGAGGCCGGAAGGGGAGACCGGCTGCCGTCGGGCGGGATTTCCTGGGTCCGGCCCTTGGTTCTGGCGTAGTAAGCTGGCTAGCTGTTAGAATAGGTACCGAGAGAAGCGCATGATAGAGGAACCCAGGAAGAGATTGCGGTGAAGATACGTACGCATTTTCGCTTACTCGAGCTTTATTGCCGGCGGAATTTGTCCTACTCTCTCGGGCTCGGGAATACCGGACGAGGAGCGAGGCTGTTCGTGTCGATGTTGGACGCTCTTGTTGGCTCCGGTCGGCTGGACTTCAATCGCAAGAGCCGGGACGCAGATGTTGATGATGCCAAAGTTGAAGGGCTGGCATTCCTCAATAAAGGGAGAGAGATTGGGCGGGGAAAGGAATGTTGCAAGCGGAATTGCTTTGGTGGCGGTCCGTTTTAGCTTGGCCCCCTTTTGATCCCCCTCGTTTTTCTGTTTCCTGTAGGTACCTATCCGTACAAGATTGGGGCAAGGAATCGTGTGGTATGGATGATTCAATTGAACAAGGCTCTTGGACCTCCTTTGTTGTTTGGGTGCGGGCGAGATGCCGAGCCGACTGTGTATAAATCTGGAATGGGTAGACTGCCTCGCAACGTCGGGAAGATTGAGTGTGATGGGATGCCAATGTCGCTATGTGGATGCCAAGACCAAGGGCCGACTGATGGGAAGAGAGGATAGTTGATGCAGTGGGCGGTGCACGAGATGCAACCAAGTCTCCTCTGCGTATGTGAAGCAAGGACGAATATTCGCCGATAGCAGAAAGAACGGATGAGGTAGGTGATGTAGCTGTTGCAGGAGGGATCTACAGCCAGCTGCAGGGTGAGATATCCGTACTTGGCAGCGACGAAATAATTGTGGATAGGAAAGTGAAGCGAGGCGAGAGGCAAATTGGTGGATAACCTCAGATACCTTTAGTATCCGTACATGTGTCCGTACCTTCCTTGCTGACCAAGTAGTAAGTAGGTAGGTGTCAAGGTGATGATTGTAAAGAGAGAAGCCACGGGCGATGCTTGATGCCAAGAAATCAAAACAGAAGGCAACTCAACCCAACATGCTGACTGCTGTTGCTCGATTCGCACAGATGCCGCTGCAAGCGTCCAAGGAGTAATTGTTCGATATGTTCCTTCTTCGTTGCCCCGGGTTCCTCTGTACCAAGTACCGTGCGCTGCCCTGCGCGCTCAGTGCTGTGCTTGCTGTAGTGTACACTCTTTTTTAGAGTTTGGCGCCTATCCCAAGCAGTGCTGTGTATTTTTGTTAGCTTCTTCCTCCCCCGTTGATGTCCGTGGTTTTGATTGATCGAGAATGCTTGGCGTGAAGATGAAGAGGTGAGGAACTGAGGATAAGCCACAATCACCAGTCCCGCGTAAGCAATAGGATTGGCGGCGAGGCTGCTAGTGATCATCACATAACCAAGGAATCTCTGAGAGTTCTCTACACTAACTATCGCATAAACTCTATGTACTTAGCAAATGAAAGGGGGGGGGGGGGAACGGATGGGGGTGGTAAGGCATTTCTTCCTCGAGAAATGCCAGTTGGCCAACTCATGACTGGTGGAGGGAAACCTTCACTTCAAGTTTGGGAGGACGTTTTGCACAGCCTCCTTTTCTCGAACGCCGTCGATTGCCGGGCACCACCTTGTCCGGCCCGATGGGCGTATGCGATTAATGCCCCCCGAATTTGCGCTTCATGCCGGGAGGTCCAGTCTAAGACTCCAACAACTGAGACTCTAAAACTCCAAGGTGAGTACGCAGTATGAGGAGGGGCGATGAGCACAGGCCCTGAAGGTAAATACTAAACCGCCAAGACTCACTGGAAATAACAAGTTGTGACGACCGAGTTGCAGAGTCCATTTCGGTACGGAGTACAATACACCTCAACGGACGAGAGATGATGTTGCCGTACGGATGCTCAGGTGGCGATTATCTGAAGCAGAACTGCTCCTCTCAATCATTTGAAACTCGCATAAGGTAGCAAAGAAGTATTGCCCGTCTACCTAAGCTGCCACTCTCCAATTCAAGCTATCCTACATGAAAACACATTACCCCCAGCCCCTTTACTTTACTTTACTTTACTTTACTTTACTCGTATTCAAAAGACCATGTGCCAAGACACATCATTAGAGCCAGCACAGCCAGCAAACCTCCGCTCAGAACCATGTATTCCTCGTGCTCAGCCTCTTATAACTACTCCGCTCCTGTCCGTTGTACCCCGTGTCAGCAGACAAGTCCTGCTTGGAATACTTGCCACGCCACGGCCTGTCATTAGCCTCTTCGAAAAAGTAGTGATTCGCACCGCTCGTGTAACCAACCCGCCACGGCACAACCAGATCCCTCTTCACCGGCCCGCCGCCGCAGCTGCCCTTGAGCTGCTCACTCGGCGGCGAGTTGACAGCCAGCGCAAACAGATTCTGCGGCTCAGTAAAGTCCGTCACCAGGCCGGACCGGGAGAGGAGGTAGGCGAGGCAAATCACGTTGATGACGAAGACGAGGGCGAGGACGAGGTAGAAGCACTTTTGCCACTCGGCGCTGTGGCCCGACGTGTACTCCTGCGTGCGGATCGAGGCGTTGAACGGGTCTAGACTGCCCGGCGCGCCGAGCTGCATCTTTTCGTGGCGCCAGTAGTGTTCAAAGGGGGTGTTGAGACCGCCGATGATGAGGGTTGACGAGGCGTAGACGGCGAGGGCTTCGGCTATAGAGGGGAGGAGGGGGTTGAGCTGCGGCTCTTGGAGGACGAATTGGGTGAGGATGCGGGCGTTGGAGGCGTTGTTGTTTTGGGCACCGCCGTTGATGTCCATTGACAGACGCCATTGATCCGCAATGTTCTACACAGAAACATAGGTAAGTAAGTAACGATGAAAAAGGAGGTGTTGGGGATTCCTTGCCCTCCAGTCTGTCACGGGGGTGGATTCCGTGACTTCGGTGTGGACGTTGGTGTAGCTGTCTGTATCATCGGGGTCATCGCAGTGTGCTTGCATGTGCGCTCCTGCGGTGCCCGAGATGTTGAAGTGGGTTGAGCAGTTGGGTGACACCCATGATCTCATCTCACAAAGGGTATAATCTGTGATGGACGCCGACTTTGTGAGGATGTAAATCGCGTCGCTCTCCACCGATGTGTTGGTTATCATGTTGTAGTCCGCAGGATACTGTCAGTTGCTGTCAGCCTTTTCTTCTTTCCATTTGCTCACCAATATCACATACAAGCGGGAACACCGGCGGCCGTCGCCCATAGTCTTGGCCCCAGCGAAAGATCTCATCCACCGACGTTCGATTTAGCCACTCCGTTTCCGAAGCGCCGGGAACATACTTCTCCCAATCCAATTTCCCGGTTCTTTGTCCTGGAACTGTCGTGTCGTCGTACAAAACCTTCCCTATGGGCCACTCTGTATAGACCAGTGGCTCCAGTTCCTCTGGAGACATGTTGACACACATGACGTTCAGTGTGGGTGAGACCACACTCGCTCTAATGCCGTACTCTCCTACACCCGACAAGTCATTTGGCTGGAGAATCTTGTTGACTGGATTTGTTGCTGCATCGTAGACACTCGGATGGGGAATTGCGAGCGTCACATTGTTGATTATCCTGTTGAAGCGCTCGTATTGTTCAGTCGTGTTGCTATAGGTCGTCTCAATCCAAGCAGAGGTGAGCGTCGTGTTGTCGTACAACAAAGCCGATCCTACAGGGCGGTGTTGAACATCAACGGTATCGCTTGTTCCGTTGCGATTGATGGACTCCCAATCACCTAGGAACGAGACCAAGTTGCGATATGCTTCACACAAGCTGTCAGCATCACTCAAATAAACATAAAGCCTTATAAGAAAGACCTGTACGTACATTGGCCAGCATATTGCACTTCCAGGCAAGCATTTCCAGCAACATCAACACCCAATGGGTCACTATCTCGTAGTGGTGTCGGGCAGGTTTCACGGGCAAAAGGCGGGTTCATGTAGGACGCCAGAACATAGCCGCTCAATGTCTTCGTCTCCCAGTCGCCAAATTTAAGCTTTGGTGTGATCATGGCGTCTGACGCAGTCGTATAAAACGTTGAAGCAATGGTGGCAACAAGAGACACCACTCCGAGAATGGTCATACCAGCGTACGGTAGCGTCTCCCAGTGCGTGATCAGGAATCCAGGTTGCTACTAAGTGTCAGACCTATCACAACAATACAATTCAACCTTGACTCACAATAACCCAATTCCTCATGGTCATCTCAGCCAAGGTCATGCCCTCTGACCTCCTCACAAATGCGCGACGTGTCAATACCTGGCCGATAAAGGTGACAAATACAGTCACGAAAGATATTTCAATCGTCTTGGCAAACATTGCGCATACCAAAGACGCTGTCGACGGGAGGATACCACCGCTTGATGAGATTTGAGGACCCCAGCGTGGCTGTACAATAGCCACAACGAGCCAGAGGCAGCTCAATCCTGTGGAGTAGAACGAAAGAATCAAGATGGATATCGATAGCCAGTTATGCTGCTTCCTGTGCACATCGTTCCGCGAGTTACAGTAAGTCGGAGGACGGCCTTGAGTGCGTATTAGTAGTCACTCGACATAGGTCAGATACACGGGGCACGGCTTACTGAATCTCTTATACAAGGCCTCCTCGTCATCCATTGGATCAGGCTCTTCAAGAGAATTCTCATCCCGTCTCGTCGAACTTTGACCAGAAGTCGACTGCGGCGGCCTGGCCTGTTGCTGACTCTCATCTTTGCCTGGAGTTGCTTGACCTAGGTCCCCCATCTCCTCCGCCTCTATGAGAGGCCATGGCTTTGAGGACTTTGGCGGATCGTCCCACGCCATTGATATTTTGCGCTTTGAACTTGCTCTGCGTTTCCCGTCTGGTGACGACCAAGGTGACTGCAGAGGCGAGATGGTGTACTGTTCCGATTCGGGTGATAAAGGTGCGGCGCGGCGTTCTGTTGTTCGTGGTGAAGCAGGTCCAGGCTTTGGTGAGCCCAGAAGGCCTTTGTTGGAACGAGGTGTGGCGGGCGAGCTAGTTTTCGAACCAACGGGAACACGTGCGAAGGAGACTTGGTTGATAGATCCCTCCACTGAGATACCAAAGGGGTCTCTTCCGTAGAAGCTTGACTTGTCAGGTTGAGATGGGGCGGTGCTCTGGTTATGTGCGGCGCCGTTGAGGGTCGAAAGGTCCATGTCGACACTAGGTGTCATTGGCTCATAGCCATTCTTTTGGGGAGTTGAAGATGAAAGAAGGTTGTCTGGAGGTGAGGACGAAGACTTGCCATCCCGTCTTTCCGAGCCAAGCAGGTGAGTCTCCTCCGCTTCAGTGATGGGGTCTATGGAGAGAGGGGCGTGACTACGATCAGTATCTTCCATGATGGGTGGGTATTAAGGAATATCAAGGGCTTGGTGTCACTACAGGGCAAACATTAAAGACTGATGATGATCCAATGAGACATGAAAAAGGGCGGTGGTTCCGTCTCTCAAAAGATCGGCGGAGCCGTCTGATTTCGGATGACGAAATCTTTGGATAATACGGAGGATGGAGCCTTGGCCCGTGTGGTAAAGGGCCGGTTCCAATTGAGGGTACTTGGTCTTTGCTGATAGTGAGTCGAGCAATGCTTCTCGAGAGACAAGTCGTAAAGGTGATCGTCGGGGCGTCTAGAGGCGTGATGGACGCTGCCTTCCGTCGAAGCCGTAGTTGCGTCGCGTACGTTATCCGTGTTGAGTAGCACAAGACGTGACACGACGCCAACAAACCAGAGTGTGCTATATGAGACTCACAAAGAGGTGTCTTGGAACCGTTTGTCGTCGTCTAGTTCCGTTTCCTACGACAGGAACTTGGAGTAGTCGCAAGGGGAATCCTTCCGGGACGCGGATCGCAAACGGGTGTACAGGGAGACCGAAATTGGCACGCAAAAATAGGAATAGACTGGTGCGTATGAGACCTTTTGGTGTCTGTAAGACGGAAGGCGAAAACAGGGAGAGATATGAGGAAGCAGTTGAAACTTGAAACGAAATGTATTAAGTAGAAAGGGGGGAAGAGGCTCTCTGAACTTGGTTCCTCATGGGATTAAACCAACCTCAGCTTGCGGCCTCGGTAGGAAAGCCGAATGCCTTCGGGAAGGCAGAAGACTTCTTCATATGTGAGAGCCTCGACTGCCAATTTCTATCCACCCCCCCTTCTCCCCCCGGCGCACTACGCCTGTCGTGTCGAAGATCACTGCTTCAGACTCGCAGGGAATCAAGGTAGGAGATGCAAGAAGCCGGCGCGGATCTCCGGAGACGTGAACCTCTATGATTGAGGTTATTCTCGCTCTCATCTAACATCACAAAGCTCGGTTAGGGGTTGTTTGCTGAGCAAAAAAGAAGGCTAGCTTTCTCAAGCAACGGTGCATGAGCTGACGGAGAGAAGGGTGGTTGGAAAGGACCACAAGCGGAAGAAGCGAGGGTCACCGCCGCCCAAACCTGCATAATGTCCGGGAGGTGGTATTAGTCTGGATCGCGGCGCGGATGAGGCCAACAATGGAAAAACTGTTGGTCAGGTCGCCCAGGGCGGCCGCATCCCGGAGTCAAGGCTTGGCTCTGTTGGTTGGAGTCGTGGAACCTTGTCAGACTCTTCTTTTTCAGACGAGGCCGATGCAAGGGAGACGAACATGACGCACGTGGTTCGTGTGTAACAAAGTGTCTAGAGAACATGCCCCCCACATTCATCCAGCTTGCGCTCATCAAACGGGTTTGAGCCCATGTAGCGTACGATGCAGGAGAAGCTCGATGAAGGGTGATAGAGCGAGGCTGTGTGGGTGGCTGCAGGTTGCCGTTCGTGATCCAACTTCCGAGTTGTGCACCACACGTTCTCGTCACCTGCATGATGCCGCATACTCCTTCATGTTGTTTCTAATTTGGGCCATCCCACCGCGGCGGAATCGTCCTATTCAAGCTGATTCACCCACCACTCGCTGTGGTGTACCTTGCGATCGAGGCTCTTAGTGTAGTCCTCTTGTCACCGCTTCAAGATGGCTACCAGACTATACGGAGTAGGCGATCAACGATTTGCTGCAAATCTTCTCAACTCATTTTGTATTTTCATTACTCCGTGACCCTGGAAGAAAGAAGCCACTGCTTACAATATCCTGATATCATCTATCAAATACCCTCCCCAGGATACATGCGCTTCGCCTCTGCGCCGATTGCTGCCAGCCTGCCTTGCCAGTACACGTAAAGGTCCGCCCATAGTGATTAAATGCACAACATCATAACTCTCGAAATAGAATCAACAACTTAGGCTCGGGCTGCACCCGCTCGTCTCGTCGCCTGGCTTCCGGCGCCAGCCCTCCTTTGGGAACCCGGCTTGTTCAATGTGTACTTGGCGAAGGCGCGTGCCAATGCCTTCTTGCAGCTGACCTTCTGGCTTCCAACGAAACTTTCGACAGTTACGGCAATGGCTCTGTCAATATCTTCCGCTTTACAGTACTCCGACAGTCTCATCTTTGCGAAGGCCTCGCTGATACGGATAATGGCTTCGAGATGACGCACCTGCAATGACATTAGTTGACTTGTTGTTGTTTCGGGTCATCATTTGGAAAGAACTTACCGTGATAGGATACGCGCCAGTTGCCAGGGATTCTCTTCTCATATCGGCGAACAGACGCGCGACCTTGTCTTCGTCCATGTTGTACAGCTTGGGACTCACGCGATCGCGCGCATATAGAATGTACTTGCGGAGAAGTTCCTGAGGGATCTCACTCTCCTTCTTCTGTGATTCTGCTTGCGTTTCCTGGTTCTCTGACTCGTGCTCAACATCCATCGAATCCTCACCGGGCTGTGATGTCGACGGATGACTGCGGCTGTGAGAGCCAACGATGAACCGCGCAAGACGCTCATCCTCTTCAGGCTCAACGGTATCCCGGACGACGCAAAGGATGTCGAAACGAGACAAGATGGGCTCCGTAAGTTCCACGTTGGCGGAGAAGGGAATCGTTGAGTTGTACCGCCCACCAATAGGGTTGGCTGCAGCAATGATACCGCAGCGCGCCTGAAGAGTCGTGACGATACCGGCCTTGGATATGGAAATCGTCTGTTGCTCCATGGCTTCGTGGATGGACGTCCTGTCCTGGTCGTTCATCTTGTCGAATTCGTCAATCAGGCAGGTGCCCTTGTCGGCAAGCACCAAAGCGCCGCCTTCGAGAGTCCACTCGCTCGTCAAAGGATCTCTCCGAACACTGGCTGTCAAACCGACTGCACTAGCTCCCTGTCCCGTTGCGAAAACGGCTCGATGGGCCGTCTTTTCCACATACTTGAGAACTTGGGACTTCGCCGTACCGGGATCACCCAGCAACAGAACGTTAATGTCTCCACGGACCTGGTGAGAGCCTCGTCCTACTTTAGCAACGCCTCCAAATAAGGACAGCGCCACAGCAGTCTTGATATCATTATGGCCATAGATGCTCGGCGCCATGGAGTTGATGATCTTCTCGATAATGCCGGGTTCGCGAGACAATTTGCGAATCTCGTTCTCATCTTCCTCCGTCATGCGGAAGCCTGCCAGCTGGTCGTGGGACTTGACAACATTGTTTGCTTCAAGGATAGTGGCGAAAACAGGGAATCCGTTCCTGTTGTTCAACTGAGCGTCGTAGTTGTTTCTGTATACGCCGGTCACTTCGATCTCTTCACCAGGCTTGGCCTTGTCGATGAGATCCCAGAGAAGGATGACATCTCGGTGGCGAGGCAAACGACCAGCGGGGACAGTGCCGGGCGACTCCTGAAGGGTAAGCTTCTGGTAGTTGCGGTAGACCGTCTTCTCGGAGTTCAGGGTAAACGGGCCTCGGGACTGGCAGGCTTGGCAGTACGAGACTTTGACCTCGGTGTTGGCTTCTTGCTGGAATGGGCCGAGTGTGACCCCGCACTTGGTGCAGTCAAATTTGACATACTTGAGCTGAGGGAAGACGCCAGTTCTCTTGGTGACGACTCCACTGACACGCACCAAACAGTTCAGGTGAGACTGACGAAGCTGTCTCAGGGTATAGTGAACGGGAAGGTCGAAAATGCGGACGTGGATCTCAGAGTGAATACGCTCGTAATCGGGGTAGTGAAGGAGCACAACGTCCATGGCAACCTCATCAAAGAGCTTAAGCATCTCGGAGGGTGCGTTGGCCAAGAAGTAGGCAAGAATTGCTTTGGATGTTGAGAGTTCTTCGTAAGAGACTTCGAGAGACTCGGCGTTGATCTCACCAAGGGTACGAATGCGGTTTCCGTAAACAGAGGAGCCGTGGTCGTCGGTGTACTCCGTCAAGAAAGCTTTGAACTCTCTCTTGATGGTGCGTTGCACAAAAGGTTGGGACACCCATTCCGTCAGACTAGCTGCCTTGACATCCTGTAGGGCCTCGAGGGAAAGCTCTTCGTCCATAATGTCCGCATCCATGTCTTCATCGGGGTCCTCATCGTAGCGATGGCGCCTGCGTCGAGGTTGGGCCGAGAGGTCAATATCGCCTTCGTCGTCTTCCCCAGGCAGGAAAGCAGCAGGCACTCGTTGGCGTCGAGCGACTTCTCGGTCTCTGCGGTTGAGCGTGGCCTCGAGCCGTCGTCTGGCAGCTAGGTCCATGTCTCCATATTCGCCTTCGTCGTCGATGTCGATACCTTCATATCCATCATCGTCCCTAGCTCTGTAGTCTACTTCGAACCCCTCTCGGAAAAGATCAACTTCATCTTCGGCCATTTCATCAAGCTCGTCCAAGTCATCCTGAATTTCCGCCTCGTCCTCGATGTCCTCGTCGTCGTCCCCACCATGCGCCATGAAAGGAGCAGGAGGCGATGATGGCATAGGGCTCGAAGCTGGGCCGATCGATGATCCATCGTCGCCATTTGTGCGACCACGCTTGCGACTCGATTGTGTGGCCAGTCCTCTGTTGGCAGAGCTGGGGTTGCTTCGGAGGGGAGAACTGTACAGGCGGTTAGCGATTAAGTCTTTTCCTGGTGCACCACAGTGGAGCAACTCGTGCCTGAGCCAACTGGGGCGATATCGCGAGCCTTACCTCATGATGGCGATGTGTCAAGAAGGCTTTGTGAATTGGATCGACTATCCTTCTAGACTGCGAAAGCTTGCGACAGAATCGACAGAAGCGGTTGTGAAGAAGAGGGGGGAATGCAGAAACGGGGAGAACTGGGAGTGGGATGAAATTACTAGAGGGCCCCATCCACGTCGCCAGGGGGAATCGCGTCAGGGGTCAGCGCGTAAAGTGGCACTTTGCCTAAAACAGACGACGCGTAAATGGGCAATTGTAGACAGCTGAGAGGAAAGTGCAGGGTACGTATCTGACGTACCAGCTTCCCCAAACGCGACTTCTCGATGGTACTGGACCCAGAACACTTACCTCAATGTTCAGGTCTGCTTTCATACTTATCTTACGCTGCCTCAATCAATCACTCTATCGCATTCGACGCCCATTTCCTCTACCATTCTTCAACGATCACCTCAAGCCCCTCGAATTAATTCAATCATCTGAAATTGGAATTGCGCACCTTTAACAATGTCAATGGACCCCCCTCCGCCACCAGCTTCGGCCGGCGACACCGATGCCCCAGTTGTCGCGCCGAAGACTACACGCAGCGAAAGTTTCTCGTCACAGAAATCCACCGACTCTCAAACTGCTGCTGAGTAAACTATCCCTTAGTATTCGCCAGTGTTGAGCTTGGACTGACCGCTGTCTTTCGCACAGATTCATAAGGGACCAGATGCAATTGGAAGCCGACGCGCGCGAGGCTCTTCCCTATGTTCGTCTTCTCGCATCTCCCTCCTATCTACAAGATCAGCTATCCTGACTTTTCACAGAGCATCGAAAGCTGCACCAATATTCTCGGATCCCTTCGCCAGAGTGTCTTCGCCTGCCTGACCTGCAATCCTCCCCCCGCCGAACCGAAGGACCCTTATGATGGTGCAGGAGTCTGCTATGCTTGCTCTATCCAGTGCCACGGCGAACACACTCTTGTCGAGATATTCACCAAGAGAAACTTCACATGCGACTGCGGTACCAAGAGATATCCGCCCACCGCTCCCTGCAGTCTGCGCTTCAACGCTACTACTAATACCAAGGGCGGCGTGCATTCGGAGGAGCCGGATGCGAACAACAAGTACAACCAGAATTTTAGAAATAGATTCTGTGCGTGCGAGTGTGATTATGACCCCTTCCAGCAGAAAGGCACCATGTTCCAGTGTTTGGGACTGGGTACGTCCGAGACAGGCGGCTGCGGCGAAGACTGGTACCACCCTGGCTGCTTGGTTGGAATGGGGCCCAACTGGTTTGAGAGCATGAAGAAGGAGAAGCCCTCAACTGTTAAGGAACCCACAGAGGCCACAGCTATGCCCACAATCTCGGAAGATTCGGAAGCGCGCCCTGGGGACGAAGCAACGGCCGCCAAGAAAGAGGATGGTGATGAGGATGTGGAGGATGAGGACGAAGACCCACCGATGCCACCCGGCTTTCCAGGCGAGGACGACTTTGAAGCATTCCTATGCTATAAGTGCGTTAATGCCAACCCGTGGATCAAAAAGTATGCGGGCGCCAAGGGATTTCTACCAGCAGTCTTCTCGACTCAGAAGAACGCACAGGTAATAGGCACGGAGGAGGTGGCCAAGAAACGAAAGGCAGAAGACGACGCCGACGTATCAGAGGCTAAGCGACTGAAAGGTACATCTGGGCCAGCCGAGGGTCAACCCACCAGCAGTGCTCCGGCTGTTAAGCAGGAGACTCAGGAGGCTTCGTCTGTTACATGTCGGTGGGCTTTACTTCCATCTCCACCGGCCGGAGAGTTCTCGCTCTTTATGACAGAAGACTTCCGCAACAACATATGTCGATGTTCGTCATGCTACCCTAATTTAGACCCGCACCCACAGCTTCTGGAAGAGGAAGAAACGTACGAGCCGCCAATGTCTGATGGCGGGAACTCGGAGCACGGAGGCTCCACAAATGGCAGCGGCAGCCTCCTGGAGCGCGGAGAGAGTGCCTTGCGCAATGTAGACCGTGTTCGTGCCATCGAAGGTGTCATGGCGTACAACCATCTGAAAGACCAGTTGAAGCCGTTCTTCCAGCAATTTGCAGAGAGCGGCAAAGCAATTGGCGCAGAGGACATCAAGTCTTATTTTGCCAAGCTCAGAGGCGACGACCAGGCCATCAAGGACGCGGGAGGTTCAGCCAATGGGTCAAAGGACGATAAGGACGATTCGCGTCGGGAGCAAAGTGGCTACTGATCTACTTGAGTATTCTGGTTTCTCTTCTACTTAAGGTTCTGCTTGTATGATAGCGTGTATGCCGGTTTCGATTGGATGTCGACCAGCAAGTGGTTTGCCACAAGGATATGGCTCATGAGGATATATGGCCTTCTTCAAACGATGTTGCCTGGTTTGAGCCCACAACTCCGAATAGTAACTACATTTCTCCGGCAGACAGCGTGCCGTGTGAGGCTCATCTCGCGCCTCCTTGAGGAGTAAGTGATATTTGAACCTCATCTGGCGAGTTCAATGCTTCTGCATTCCCGGCCAAGGACAAGAATGAGTGGTAGTGATGTACCTTAGACATAAGACGTGCCCAACGCGGTACCAGCCCTCCAGGTTGCGAGGCTACGAGTAAGACGCCAGCAACCACTCATGTTCTGTGGCGCAACGATCGTATGCGGACAAGCTTCAGGCCTAACTAAATGTCAAAATCACACAGCTGCACGTAAGAAAGCATGTTCCCGTCGCGGGACAACGAGCATGAGGGCTTGTTCGAGACAAGCCCCCGTACAGCACGTCGTGACTAGTCAGAGCAAATGTGTAACAGCCATGATGGCATGTAAGGCTGGTCTGAGTTTCACATCGGGGAACACAATGTTGACGTGATTCTTCTTCCAAATAGCATCGTCGATATTTCTTCTGAAAAAGCAGGGGAATTTAAGATGGATTGATCCCGTTGATGAAGCCAAAACTTATGGATCAATTTCAAAACTTCTGTGCTTGCTCCCCAAGAAGTGACAACTCACGAAATACTACTGCGCATATTTGACTTTCTGGACCACAAACCATTCCTGACTCACTTCTCGGCTTCACCTGGTGGAGTCCCGTAAATCATTGCCATGCTACATGCGTGGCGCCAGAATCATTGCCGGCCAGGCTGGCGTGAGGACCTTGGTCGGCACATCTCGATATGGAGCTGACCTAGCGACTCAGGGCTCTTAGGACTGCGAAGAGAATTGTCCTTTGGCGCTTTTATGGTCTTATGCTCGAGGCATTTCGTTGTTGACGAACGAGTGCTTCCCCCGTAATGGTTGAATGTGTGATATTTAGTAGAGAATAAGAAGATAGCTGGCAGAGATGAGCACAATGTCTGCAGACCGCGAGACAGCCCCGGCCAGGAGCAACTGCCACTCGCGTGGCCGTAGAGGCCCGGAACGCCCTTTCCAAACCTTGTGCAGGCTCGGCCGTCCGGGATATCTGCCCTCTCTTATCTTTACATGAGCCGTTCAAAGTCATGTGCCGTGGTATTGTCGTCCCGCCCCTGCTCAATTCTATCGGGATGCCCGCCCTTCGAAGCTGCTACGTTTCCTTTATATAGACCGAGTTCCGTTCTCTGCTTCCATCACGGCTTCCATCATGCTGTCACCTCTTTCCCCAACATTCGCTCCCTAATCTTGCCATCTTCACCCTCATTCTTTATATCTATCTCCCTTGCAAATTTTCCATGATGGCTCCTAACAAAGAGGCAACGATGTTGGAGATGAGGGCCACGAGGTCATCAAGCGACCAAGGCATGTCCGATCCCATCGACGCCGCCGAAGGCGCTAAGCTCGAGCGAAACATCTCCATACGGCATATGGTATTCATGGCTTTGGGTGGCTCCATTGGTGCCGGCCTCTTCGTCGGTTCTGGTGCTGCTCTCGGCTCTGGCGGACCCCTGTCTCTCGTCCTCAACTTCGCTCTCGTCGGCTTCGGCGTAACATGTACCATGGGCTGCCTGGGTGAACTGGCCGGTAAGTGTTCTTCCGCATCTCTGTCCCAAACTCCCCCCTCGTATCGATATGTCAGACCGCAATAGCAGTGCACAACTAATATATTATTGCAGCCGCGTATCCTGTAGCAGGCGCCTTTTACGAGTATTCGAGACGCATGATATCAGAACCCTGGGGATTCGCAATGGGCTGGAACTTCGTGTTTAACTGGCTCATTGTCTTTCCTTTCGAGCTCACGGTGATCGCAGCTCAAATCAAGTACTGGGCCCCAGACTTACAACCGGCCTTTGTGATAACGCCAATACTGATCGTTCTGACCGCGACCTCGTTCCTCGGCTCCAAGTGGTTCGGCGAAATTGAACATGCCCTCGGCATCGGCAAGGCCCTCGCTATCACCGTCTTCATCTTTGTTGCGATCTTCATTATCACTGGCGCCGTTCCATCAGATCCACGGTACTTATCTTCTGCTTGAATCGCACTTTGTCATAAAGCAATCTGACCGTTCGTTAGACACGGAACAGGAGCTAAGTTCTGGCATGACCCCGGTGCGGTGAAGAATGGCATATCGGGCTTTTTCCTCGTATTCCGAACCGCCGGCATGTCCTACGGTGGCACGGAGCTCCTGGGCCTGACGGCGGCTGAGTGCAAGAATCCCCAGAAAGCCCTACCTTTGGCGACCAAGATCGTATTTGGCCGCATCTTCTTCTTCTATATCATATCGCTCCTCTTGCTCGGTTTCGTCGTCCCGTCCGATGACCCTGGCTTGGCCTCAACCGGCCACGGTGCCAAGTATAGCCCTTTCACACTCGCAGCACAACTCGCCAACATCCAGCATCTCCCGAGCTTCTTCAACGCCCTTATCGTTTTGGCAATCATTTCAATGGCCAACACCAGCATCTTCGCTGCCAGCCGAGCCTTCCAAGCTATCTGCGAAAGGGGCATGGGCCCTCGGTGGGGAGCCACCGTGAAATGGGGCGTGCCTGTATATGCCTTCGCCATCACGTCCGTTTTTGGCCTCCTTGCCTTTATCAACCTGGCGCCCGGCGGCGGCGCCATCTTTGACTGGCTATTGAGCCTTTCGGGAGCTAGCAACTACTACACGTGGGCGTCCATCTGCGTCAGTCATATTCGTTTCCGCAAGGCATGGGCTGCGCAAGGAAATGATACCAGTCAGCTTCTCTGGAGGAGCCCCTTTGGCGTCTGGGGAGGCTGGGTTGGACTCGCCATTTGCTTTATAGGGCTCGCTGCAAATGTCCTGACGGCAATTTGGCCCATCGGTGGTCATGATGCGCAGGCCGTCATCCGCGACAACATTGGAACGATTATCCCGATTGTGTTGTATATCGGCTATCGGGTTTGGCAGTCGATAATCATGAAGGTGAAGCAGCCTATACTCGTCCCATTGGATGACATGGATGTGCAGACGGGTATCCGTCTGCTTGAGGATGTTCCCATCTCGGACGACGGGGGAGTCACTTTAGTCCGTGGTGAAAAGTGATTTATGCCGTTGATGTACAGCGATACCGCTGAGTTGACTAACTGTGGCGGTCAGGGCTTCGCGCGGCGAGAACAGGTCGGGGTTGGGTGCCTTTTGCTTTCCTTAGTAATTGAGTAGCAACAGTAACAGTAGTAACAGTACACAACGAACAGTCTCAGTAGGAGTTTCGTTTCATTTCAACAAACCATTCATTAATGTATTCGTGAAAAGAGACCAAGGCTAAGGTGCTTGGCCAGTATCACAAGAGGTATAATGCGATCGCCCATTTGCTTTGCAAGCGATTCTCCTTTCCAGCAACCCCCAACGCCAGCAAGCTTTTTTACCCAGAATGCTCCTTACGCCACCACAATCCCGATGGCATGCTTCATAAAACAGGTACTAAATGCATTGTGTACTGCCTTCACTGGCCAGAGGAGCCAGTGCTCGAATTCGCACTCGAGGGTCTTGGTGGCGGAACGGGCATACCCATGGGGATTCCTAGATCTCTCTGCATCGGGACGCCACCCATCATGCTGGATTCCGGCGACTGCGGACGCGAGTACTCGTCTCCCATTTGCTGGCTCCCAGAAAGCTGTTCTTGAGCGGCTCTCTTCTCCAGCTCCTTCAACCGCTCCTTCTCCGCCGGGTCGATGAGGTCGTCGTCGTCGCTCCAGCAAGGGTCCTCGTCGCTGACCTCGGGCATGGCCATGCGCTTCCAGAACCGAAGTTCCTGGCGCGCGGCCACGTCCTCCACGCGCCGATCCCACCGCGTCTCGTCCTCGTCGTACTTGCGGCGGAAGTTGCGGAGCACCTCGTTCGCCTTACCCGCGCGTTCCTGCATTTCCCAGATCTGTTCTCGGAGTCTGCTATTCTCGGCGCGGGCTTCGGCGAGCTGGGATCGGTACGAGCGGTGCCATGCGGCGACATCGGTGACGTGCTTTGCCTTGTACTCGTGGAATTGCTTCAGCATTGCGGCGAAGACTGTCGCGTACTGGCTGAGGAGTGTCGCGTTGGCGTCGCGGCTGTATTTGGCCTTTTCAAGGGACTCGGAGAGGATGGAGATGAGGGTGTCGAGATTCTGTTCTTGAGCTGAAGAGAAGGTGCCATGTGTCAGTGACTACGGTAAAAAGCAATTGGGACATGTGCGCGTGGGCGGGTGTGCGAGCAGCAAGGGCGTACCAAGAATGTCGTCTGCAGCGTTGTGGATGAGGTCGTCATTGCCCATTCCCTGCGTCCTCGCGCGACTGCGCACCCTTCCAAGACCAGAGACAATATCCTCGGTGACGCGACGGTTCTCCGTAAGCTGCCTACTCAGCTCCTCGACCATGCCATAGATGTAGTTGAGCTCGGCCTGCTGACCGGCAGGGGTGGGCACGCCGCCCATGCCGTTGGGCACATTGCCGCCGTTCATTCCGTTCATGAGGACGAACTGCTGGTACTGCGCGTGGGCAAGGGCTTGCTGGGCGGCCGAGAGGGATTGCGCGTTGGCGGACGGCGCAGGCGAAGGAAGTTGCGGCGGCGGGAGGGAATGTTGTAGCTGTAGCTGTTGTTGTTGCTGCTGCTGGAGCTGCTGCTGCCGCTGCTGTTGAGTCTGATGCTGGTGTTGCTGTTGCTGCAGCTGGAGCTGGCGGGAAGAGAATTGGACCTGTTGCTGCTGGGACTGCTGTTGCGGCTCGTTGTTGGAGCTGAGGATGGGGTTGAAGGCGAAGTCGTTGGAGGTTGAGGCAGGAAAGTTCATGGCCCTTGCTGTTTCTGCCCGCTTTCGAGTGGGAGGGGTGTGGGTTGGGTTGCACAACTGGCGGGCAGCTGTCGTGAGTGAGATGGTTGCTCTGCTCCCGTGCTCGCTTCGCTTCTCTGTTTTACCCGGAGGTGAACCGGGGGGACGGGGTGACAGCGCCGGCACCGCTGCTGCCACAAAAGAAGAAAAAGGCAACCTTGATTGACAAGACGCTTCTGAGGGGTGGAGCTTATCTGGCGCGCGTGTGTCTAGGTGCGGGTGCGACGGGTCTCCTTCGTGGGATGTATCTGCTCTCCGTACCGTTTTGGGTTTGGAGTGGTAGGAGAGGGTGGAAGGGGCAGAAGGGGGTGTGAATGCTGCGAGACGCCCATGGTGGATGAGATATTGACTTAAGCGGATCAAGTTTGCAAGTGAACTGAGGATTGAGCTGCTAACGTAAGCGATACTATCTTGGGTGGGTTATGCACAAAACGGCTACCAGCCAACTAACGACCAACGACGGGCCCTCGGTCTTTCCTCCTATCCAGTTCTTCCTTCCTTCTCTGGATAGAACCTTAAGGAACACGATGCCCAAGTGGAAATTAAAACAAGAGCAATCAGAATGAGACCAATTGAGACCACTTTTCCTCTCAGACCATTCGGTACCCAGACTAATCCTCGTCAATGTCCATGTGGCTGTTGAGGATAGAGGCCTTGGGCGTGAGCTCGTCACCCTCGCCATCCTCATTGACCGCATCGTCAGCCTTCTCGCCGTTTGCAAGAGCGTAATTGGCCATGATCTCTTTCATGTTCGCAGTGTCTTGTCCAGCGAGTGTAAGAGTCTTCTCAAAGTGATCGCGGCTTCGCTTACGATGGGCCTTGGTCGGGGTGGTTGGGACACCAGCGTTAATGGGCTCGTAGTACGCAGGCTCGAGGCCAAGGGGTCGAGGGCCAGCAGGCTGGATCGAGGGACGCTCAAGCGAGGCAGACTTCGAGGCCGACGCGATACGGACGCGGTTCTTCTGACGACGAGTGGACGGCGAGTTATCCTCAACGTCGGTGTCGGCGAACATGACTGTGGGAGCTGTCTTGACGCTGCGAGGGCGACTAGGAGGCGGGCGGCCGTGGCCCTCCTCGTCGTAGCGGAAGCCAGGAGGCGGGGTAGAGGAGCCGCACTCGACGTCGTGCTTGCCGATGGCCGTAGCAGAGTCGGCCTCGGGTCTAGCATCACTCTTCATATTCTTGCCGAGGCCAAGGTAGTGCTTGGGGCTGGGATTGAAATCAAGGACCTTGGCAATACCGGGGCCGGACTTCTTCGCACCAGTGCCCTTTCCATCATGGGCTCCGTCAGAGATACGGGGAGCCTTGGCCGTACGCGGAGTCTTCACAGCATGATGGGCCGGCTTGGTCGGGGTCGCAGCCGGGTCATGAGAGCTGTCCGAGGGCTCCATGTCGTAAGCGCCATCCAAACCTTGGACTGACTTCATGATGGGCTTGTCATCAGTGCCCTGGGCAACCTTCTTGCTGGCACGATAACGGTCGTGCTCGCGAGCCAAGCGGGCAGGCAGAGGCTCCTGGTACTCGCGAATGGGTTGGACTTCAGCCTCGTCCTCAGGATAGTCAGACAGGTCCTCTTCGGTATCCTCAGGCGACTCGGTGAGTTCGCCTTCGTCATCGGCGCTCTCTGGGTGGCCAAAGAGGTCCTCTTCAGTGTCTTTGGGCAACTCATCAAGCTCGTCCGACGGAGATCCAAAGCCAAAGAGGTCCTCCTCTTCTTCATCACTGGGCAACTCGCCGAGCTCAGAGTCAGAATCAGGGTCACCGAAGGGATCCTGGGGCATAGGGTCAGTCGCAGGTGAATGAGTGCGGCGGACATCGCCAAGGCCCTCGTTCTCATCAGTGCCACGAGATGCCATTTTGCCCTGTATTCTTTGGGGAACCCGTAGTCAAATTTGACTTAGAGGATGGGCTCTAGCTAAATAACTGTTAGCTGAAGGTAAATGGGTAAGTCGAACTGAAACTTACCGGCTAGAGTGTCGGCTTGATCGATCTTCAGAGTCGGGAAGCTCGGTAAGTCGATGGTGGACACAGACGAGGGAGGGCTAGAAGAATATCCTTCGATGAAAGCGAAGCAACTTGATGGGACTTCGGTCGAGAGAAAAAAAGAAAAGCTCAATCCTCAAGCAAAGCGTTGCTGAGAATCGCGTTCGACACCAGGATAGAGAGGCAAGGAAGGGGAAAAAGAAAGATAACTGCTGGTAGGTAATGATACCTAGCTAGACGCGAAAGAAGCCGTTCGCTCGAGGTAAATCAAGGTCTGATGAGCTCGCGTACTGGCACAAATAGTCGAAAAGACTCGAGCAATCGCCAGTAGAAGTTCTGCTGCTCGGGAATGTATCGTCAGAATGGCAAAGACTTGTTGACGGAGATAGATGTATCTCAAACTTACTCGAAGGATGGATTTCCCTTGACGACAGAGGTTGATGATGTTTTGACCCAGCTTCTTTGAGGTGAGGAAGAAGGGAAAGAGAGGTTTGGGTATGCTTGAGCAAGATTTGTTGTTGTTTACCTTTGTGGAAGCTGGTGCCCTCGTCGTGGGGCCTAGTCAGATATGCCCCGGGGGAACTTCATTCTGTTTATCTTTATGGAGACGGGTGCTCCTTTCTTAGGGTCCATTTGAAGGGGATTGGACTCGCTGCGGGAGCATCTGTTATTGTTCATTTTGATAGAGGCGGGGTGCCCTCATCTTTGGGCCTAGTTGTGTATTCTCCGGGAAGAGTTATTACAGTCTGTCATTATGGAGGCGGGTGCTCTCGCCATGAAGCTCAGCGTGAGATACTTAGGCATGCCCCAGGGGAATTTAGCGTCGTTCATGATTGTGGAAGCTGGTCGTCTCTTTATGGAGCTTAATTGCAATGGGAATTCAGGAGGCATATATCGATTCAAGTTCCTTTGCTGCCTTGAAGGACCATATCACCAGAGTATTTGAACACCAAGATAGCATCGGGGCGTCAAGACTGGCTCTCGAACAGTTGCCTGTCGTGATTCGGGACCACACGGCATGAGTATAGTGGTCTGTAGACCACCTCAGCCACCATGTATGAGATGGTCTTGAGAATCTGTAATACTAATGAGTTGTCATGTCCGACGAAGTCGAAGAATTCTATCCAAGCATGTGGCCGAAGGAAACCCGAGTCCCTCGCAGGTTATTACATCACTGGGATATTTCATGCCTTCTTAAAGGCACATAGAAGCACTGCCAGTCTTGGGGGGAGGTAGCTTTGTAAGAAAGTGATGGTGGCTTTATTGGGAAGAGATAAGAGAAGCTTCGGTACTGCGTATGGCATCTCAAGCTGGTTTTCACATCAAACAGAAGATTCTTTGAGAGGTTCAATGAATGATTATTAGCGAGATGCCAAGTAAGCGTAGAGATCAATGGTGCAATATGAAACCATCGTCTACCAAGGCCGACAAAAGGCTAGAGTTTACAGTTTCCGGTTCACTGTTATGGACAGGCAGAAGAGGGTACTTTACGGGACTCTTGAGACTACAGGGTAGCTCAAACACCTTTTAAGGGCGTGGCACTCCTTACTTTTGTAACATGAAAAAGGCATTAATGAAGAACCAGGTTCCCCAACAAGCGTTAATTTCTACGACTCGCGACTTCTTTTGACCAGTCTCATCAGGCAGCTGGCAATCCTTAGTTTCTCATACTACATTATAGAAATTCTCATTTCAAGGCAACCAGGGATGTTTCTGGCAGAAGTAGTCAGAGAAAGATGAGGGAGCCAACTGCTTCCGATAGAGCATGACGAAGTTACCCAATGTTGAGACTAGAGAAAAGTAGTTGAAATTCGCGATGAACATGGATTCTATTAAACCTTGGGTTGCTTCTTCGTCCTAACCCATGGGAGTTACATCCGCTTGGCACATCAGATCCTCCCGACAATATGGCCGAGGCCATGCTCATCTCGGCCGATTGCAATTTTGAGTGCTGTCAACTCTAAGCCTTGGACCTGGAGAGAAGCAAGGTCGAAGCGAGCAGTTGAGGCAACGCCAGACACGACAGGCGGAGAAGAACGGGGAAGAAGTCAAGAAAGAGAGACCTCAGATGGTGAGCTTGCGGAGACTCCGCCGCCGGACCAAGTTTACCGGGGGCTACCGATTATTTAGCGGGTGCGGGGTGATGCGGGGCCTCCAGCTTCCCCGCCATCCGGTCAAGCCACCCATTCGGGCCGTTGGGCACCCCATCCCGCCGGGCTTGTCCTATCCCATGCTAAAAAGCCGGAGGCCACTGCAAGGTAAGGTATCCGTACGGAGTACTGTATGTAGAAACAAACGAAACATGAACAGAAAAGATTGGACCAGTTCTCTCGCTTTCATAGTGTCGTTTCAACGCTCCTCCATCCCTACCTCAGACACCACCAATGACAGCTCATCCATGCAGACAGCTACCCTTGCACCGGGCAAGCAGGAAGCTTTGGTACACTAGCGCCGCTCTAGCATGATGCGTTTTCTCCTCTCGCTCTTGTCCCCCCGCTGCAGTCGGCGCAGATGCACATCATCATTCCCCCCCCCCCCCAAAGTCCCGTAGCTCCCAACTGCAAAGCCGGTAGACTGCGGGGAAGTCGATTCCAAGAACGAGGAATGAACAGCGTGACCTTCACATACCGCATATGTCCTGCATTGTTCTTTTTTGTTCTGCTGTTCATCCAGGTAGACACGGCCTTACCTCGCTCCATTACTCGCTCGCGCCATTCAATCAAATAGACTTCTAGCCGCAAATGAGCGGTCCCGAACCTTGGCGAGCTACGCGCCAGGAGAATACGACATGGACCAGGCACCCCCAGGGACCTCCGGACACTGCAGATGAAAGACTGGATGACGTTCATGCTCTGGCCCTGCACCTATCACGGGCCGTCCGCAAAAGTCGCCTAAAAAACATTTTGCGTGAAAGCCCAATTAGGTAACGGGGACCTAGGAGCTTTCGGGATGAACGGTTGGAGAGCAGGAGACGTCCGTTGCCGCCTTCTAGCGGGGTCGCGTATTCCAACTTACACTCTCAGCCAATGTAACGATGCATAACCAGGTCCTTTGATCTGCAAAGCGACACCAAGTATAAAGTCCGCCACTGGGCCATGTCGTGGACTGTTGTCCAAGCTTCTCTTGCCCTGTTTGCCCATACTCTGCCAAGCTTGTCAACATGGCGAGAAAGCTTTCTGTCCTCGGACTACTCAGCGCAGTAGCTTCAGCTGCTGTGATCCGCAGAGACTATCCTAGCGACGACGCGCTTTCAAAATGCCCGGGCTACAAGGCTTCCAACGTCCAGCTGTCCTCGACTGGATTGACAGCAGACTTGTCGCTGGCCGGTGAAGCATGCAATGCGTACGGAACCGATCTGACAGACTTGACTCTGACTGTCGAATATCAAACTGGTGAGTTCCTCGATTTCTTCATAGCCATCCCGTGTCATTCCTGTGCCTTGTGAACCAATACTCAGACATACTGCAGATACCCGTCTCCACGTCAAGATCCAGGATGCCGCGAACCAGGTGTACCAGATCCCCAACTCTGTGTTTCCCCGCCCCGAGGCCACCAGCTTGACCATCGCAGAATCCAAGCTGCAATTCAACTACACCGAGAACCCCTTTTCCTTCAGCGTGAGCCGTTCCGACACAGGCGAGGTTCTCTTCGACACTTCCGGAGCCAACATCGTCTTTGAAAGCCAGTACCTCCGCCTCCGGACCAAGCTGCCCGAGAACCCTAACCTGTACGGTCTGGGCGAGCATTCGGATCCCTTCCGTCTGAACACGACTGACTACATCCGCACGTTGTGGTCCCAGGATTCGTACGGCATTCCCTCTGGTGCCAATTTGTATGGTAACCACCCCGTCTACTACGAGCACCGCAAGAATGGCACCCACGGAGTCTTCTTCTTGAACTCCAACGGCATGGACGTCTTCATCAACAAGACGGAGGAGTCTGGGCAATATCTTCAGTACAACACCCTCGGCGGAGTCCTCGACTTCTACTTTGTTTCCGGTCCTTCTCCCATCGAGGTGGCCCAGCAATACGCTCAGATTACCGGCCTGCCAGCCATGATGCCATACTGGGGTCTAGGTTTCCACCAATGCCGTTACGGATACCGCGATGTCTTTGACGTTGCTGAGGTTGTCTACAACTACAGTATCGCCGAGATCCCCCTCGAAACTATGTGGACCGACATTGATTACATGGACAGGCGAAGGTAAGCGATAATTAACATGCTATGTACTCCTTCAACTAGACTAACAACCCGCAGAGTATTCTCTCTCGACCCTGAGCGTTACCCCCTGGCCAAGGTCCGCCAGCTTGTCGACAAGCTTCACGAAAATGATCAGCACTATATCGTCATGGTAGACCCTGCAGTGGCCTACGTCGAATCACCCACCCTGCAACGCGGCATTGACGACAACATCTGGCTTCTCCGTAGCAACGGTTCCGTCTGGATCGGCGTCGTCTGGCCTGGTGTTACTGTGTTCCCTGATTTCTTCGCAGAGAACATCACTTCCTTCTGGAACAATGAGTTTGCTCAATTCTTCTCGGCCGATAAGGGAGTCGACATTGATGCCCTTTGGATCGACATGAACGAGCCGTCAAACTTCCCCTGCTACTTCCCCTGCGACGATCCTTACGGTTCCGCTGTTGGGTTCCCTCCCGAGCCACCAGCCGTCCGCGAGAACCCCAGACCTCTCCCCGGCTGGCCTTGCGATTTCCAACCTCCTGGAACCGACTGCGGTAACAACCAGACCAAGCGATCTGATGTCCTCGTTCGAAAGCAGATGTCGCCTAGAATGGTGCCCGCTGGACAGACGTTTGACAATTTGGTGCTCGCCGAGAGACAATCATCCGGTGATCAGAAGGGTCTGCCCGACCGCGATCTTCTCTTCCCCAAGTACGCCATCCACAACAAGGCCGCTTGGGACACTGAGTCGAACGCAGCCCGTGGTGGTATTTCTAACAAGACCGTGAACACGGACGTGATCCACCAAAACGGCCTGGCCATGTACGATACCCATAATCTTTACGGCTCCATGATGTCCTCAGCCTCCCGGGTTGCCATGGAAGCCCGCCGTCCGGGTCTTCGCCCCCTCATCATCACCCGCTCCACATTCGCCGGCGTCGGAAAGCATGTAGGCCACTGGCTCGGCGACAACCTTTCCAACTGGCAACAGTACCGCGTCTCTATCTCCCAGCTGATGCAGTTTGCTGCTGTATATCAGGTGCCTATGGTCGGCTCCGATGCTTGCGGTTTCGGCGACAACACCAACGAACAGCTCTGCGCGCGCTGGGCCGCCCTCGCCGCCTTCTCCTCATTCTACCGCAACCATAACTCCATCGACAGTATTTCGCAGGAGTTTTATCGCTGGGACACGGTGGCTGACAGTGCTCGCAAGGCCATCGCCATCCGCTACCGCCTGCTTGACTACATCTACACTGCCCTGTACCAGCAGACCAAGGACGGCACTCCGCTCATCAACCCGCTCTTCTACCTCTACCCCGAGGACGAGAAGACGTTCGGTCTGGACCTTCAGTACTTCTACGGTGACGCCATTCTCG